ATATGTAGAAATGTGGCTGCGTGAAATAGACCTTGCAAAAGGGTTACACTGAAGTAATAAAAGGACATTTTCAGGTAAGACTCCAATTTAGAGAAAGTATAACCGAGACTAAAATTGTCTATTTCATCAATGCTAGGAACTTGGGTTCCATTGCAGTCTTACTCAATTAAACTTGTTAAATTGAACGGTTCTATGGGTGATAGTTTGTCAAAATATCTATCGGACTACATAATTCAGTATTTGATGATTTATTTTAGTCTCTCTGGTACCACATTGCAAAAACGTTCAATTTTGTAAACCATACACGTGAAATCACCCCTAAAAGTGACTCGAGCTTCGTAAGTTTGAAAATGCTGACCAATAATGGTCAACATTGTTATCCGGATAAGAAAATCTCGAATAACGAATAAAAGATTATCGTCTAAATAAATTATAAAATTAGACGCAGTAAAATATAGAGGTGACCGCTTGCAAGGCTGCTTGTAAGTGCAATCTCTATCTTTCCGGTGTACCTAAGACTTTATGCTTCTGATATCTAAAAAGTACACACCGAGAATCTCGTCAGTCTCTTGTCCTGTTCGTACAAATTTCCTTCGAATAAAATTTACTCATATCAAAAGTAGTTGGCTTATAAAATTACCGAACATATAAAAATAACGAACAGTTTTTACTGACATATAAAAATGTATTTCAAAATAACGTAAATGGTCTGTTAAAACTATATTGAGGTTTACCTTCGACTAAAAGTTCTGAAATTGCAGATGCTACAAGCGAATAAAATTCGCAGTCTAATAATACAAAACCAGTAACAAATAAATTAATACATAAAATACTTTCACTCGTAATGTTTGCCCGCCAGATTCAATATATTATTTTATCTGTCGTTTTTCATTCGTGGTATAAAAAAAGAGCAATCGATAGGCGATAAAAACGTGGTAGCTAATGGATATACTTATTGGGTTGTATACATGTACTATATGTATGAAATATAAAACGAAACGAAGCCGCTTATTTTTGAAAAAGTAATTTTTTATTCGATCGAAATATGTACCATGATGATTCTTCAAACGAGATCTTATTTAATGCATTTCATTTTTATAAAAATTGATGTTTTTCAATTGTAGACATTCTTCAAACCCGAGAACTACAGATTTTTGATTAGAGAATGTTTTCTTTCTCAGAAGGAGCTTCCGATAGCACAAAAAGGGATCTTTTGTTGGGGAAACATCTTGTGAATGTTAAATTCATATTGGAAAAGTATTCGAAACTATTCCTTTGATACAATATCGTCTACATACATACGCAGAATAGTTAGACAATCGCAATAAGAAAACTCAATCAATAAAACAGATTGAGAAGCACAGTAATGTTATATTTTCCGACCAGCACACCAAACAACATCGATCGTACTTAATTTACTAATTGCGATCGATTATCGACTATTCGAACATCGGTAATTTCATATGGTACAACCTAATGCATATTTATGGTATGATTCGAGGGATATTAGTCACGAAGAATAAAGAATGTGTAAGGGTAGAGAGTATCGTGGATTGGTTACATGCCACCTGTGGCACAGCGGCGGCAGGGTAACGCGGTCGACTCGATCGCGGTGATATCTCTTAGAGGTCGGGAAGGGATTCATCAATAAAGTTTACTATTTTTCCGATATCGCTTTTCCAATTCTATAAATCGTCGTGCACGGACTCGCGTATACACGCGGCACGGAGAAGAGAGGAGAAAGACCAGTTATGAATGGCCCACATCGGTTCATGTTAATCTGCCACTTCATCCCTCTCTCTCTTTTTCTCTCTCTGATCCAGCTCCGTGCAATCTCTTCGCTCCTGCCACAGCCCATATCCAGAGCCCACCCCTCTCTGTCTCTGCCCGCTACTCGCGTTCACCCCCTGACCAATTGTTTCGTTGGAAAAAGAGAAGAGGAAGAGAGAGAGAGAGAGAGAGAGAGAGAGAGAGAGAAGAGAAAAAAAAGTGTGGTGGCAGAGGGGGGAACAAACGGGGCCGAGAGCGGACCTTTGACGAAAAAATGCTTCAGCCATTGCGGTGTGTACGCGTGCCCACTAAATTAAATCGCTCGTTTTCGGTGCATCCGTTTACGTGCCAACAGAAAAGAAAAAATCAACGAGAGGGAAAGTTTTGAATGAATAAACCTGTATTTACAAGTGTTGCCTGTTGATTAAGCTGGTTTATAGGGACCGTACTGCTTGGTGACCGCATGCCACTCGATCCTCTTTTTTTTCTTAGACGTTCCGGTATTATTCGAAAGAACAATGGACATATACCGCGTCAGGATTTATGTCGACACGCTGTGTTCTATTAATAAATGGACAAAAACGATGTTAATGACAAATATAGAACATTTGCTTCTTATCTAAGTATGTTCATAGAATCTTATTAACAATAAGGACATATACTATGTCTTGGACAGACAAAGGCACTAAATGGAGATTATTTAAGCGACAATTGCCGTAACTTGTTGTATATTATTAAGTATACATTGTTGAAATATATACAGGGTGGGGCAATAACTATGTCCACTTTGAATATTGCCGTTATTTGTAATAATATGAAAAAATGTTATATACAAAACTTACACGTTATAGAGGCGTGTATATTGTGACACAAACATTTTCTGCGTGGGTGAAGGCATAGAAGAGATTTCAAGGTCATCTGTATTTTTTTTAATGGAATGCAGTTTTTTTTATCGCGATGTGATAGCCGGTGTTGAGACGACTTCAGCGAGCTATCATTGAAGGTCATGGAAGGTCAAATGTGGTAATAAAATAAACTTTCTTACATTACAGGAGATGCTCGAAGTGCGTCAATGCACAGTTGCAATCTTCGTATCGCTGCATCATAATTGCAGCATGTGCTAAAATAAGTTCATAAACAATAAGACATGCACGTGATGCAGGGATACGAAAACCCCTTTTTCAAATAATTTTCGAGATACTGCACTTACAAGTTTACCGATTTTCAACGGAAGAAAGCTATTCGAAAAAGTGCGTATACATTAAAGATTACTGAGTTCGTCTTGAAACGCACTACCAAGTGATCTAAAAAGAAATATATAATTCCATTTAAAAAACTAAACTTGACCTATATCTTTTAAAATAATAATGTTAAACAAAATTTGACATAGCCCGTTAATTAGCCCTCTCGTGCCATTCAATTTTATGTAAACAGTTTTATCGTGTTTCAAATAGGAAATGAAGTATCGGACTATACAGTGTTAACACGGACACCCTGGATGTTTTGTTACCATTTGTAAACTTAGGCATTCAAGTTCGCAGGTCATTGTTCACGAAAAAAATTATTTTAGAAATTACGCGACTATAAGCTTATTTTGCAACCTATTAATAACGCGTTCAAAAAATATTTTACCACTTTGTTGGAACGGTTTGTACATCGATAAAAAGAAACAAAACAAGAGGAGTTAAGATTAAGAACATATGAAATTGATTATCATTATATCATCCATCCTTCAAAAAAGATTAAATGAAAATGATATACAAATTCAGACGAATTTGTTTATCGTTATTTTTATATTTTCTAATTTTATACGATGCTAGAGAACGAAATGAGTAACATATATTACATATACATATGCATAATTCTACAATAAAGTACTATATCAAAGTAATATGTCCACGATGACCAAACTGCGGCTTGCGAGCCGCATACTTCTCTTTTAGACACTTACTCTGGCTCCCATACATTTGTACAGTATTTTTTTATAATCTTGACACATATTACATACTAATATTTAATATAATATTTTTGTAAGTTTGCTGACTTTATTTCGCAGTGCGATACACATACACACACACAGATTGTAGGCGTAACTCACAATTTAACACTGTTCCAATAGAGGATTCAGCTCTCGAGTATTTCTGTTGGTGATATATGGATCCTACCTTGACAAGGTTTGGCTACCATTGTAATATATTGTCTTTTTATAATGATACGTATATACGTAACTGTTATTTATTTCATACAAACTGATACAAAGATTGTATTCACAATATACTATTAAATATAAGATAGTACAATAATGTATTGTACATACAAATTTTCTTAAAATAATATTATATTACAGTATTACTTAGTACTAACAGTTGCTGATCAAATGTAACTCGTACAATATTTACAATGCGGAATCACAATTGGAATGTAACTAAAGTAAAAAATCAAGGTAAGTAATACTAAAAGTTTCTTCGGTATTTGTCTTCAAGACTTTGTACATTTGTGCAATTCTTTCTACTAAATACATATATATATACCGATGATACAAATGTATGTTCTAGCTGCGTCATAAATGGAATGTTAAAATAATATCTTTTACAGTCAAGTAATTGACGATCCTGTTATTTCTTGTACCTGTGAGCAATTTCTTCCTTTTGTACAAATCTTCTGTAATTTAATATACAATAAATCTATGTTCATAATAAATTATCACTCTCTTTCACTGTTCTATTATTACTATTATTAGATACATACTAATTACTCTTATTTTTTCTAATGATTAAGATCATAGATGCTTGTTTTCAAAAATTGATCATATGAATGTATAAAACCTCATTACAACTTCGTCTTCGATCACAAAAATAGAGGTACATTTTGATAAGAGTAAGAACTGATAAGGTTATCTTGTGTGAAAATAAACTGTAATATTATCTTGCATTACATAGCAGTTATTAAATATCACAGAATTAAAAAAGCGCCATTTCTAATATTTTCAGAATTTCTTACTTCATTCATATTTGAATAATCAATGAGTCCCTTCATATATTAAATGAATAATAATGGTACAATTAAGGTTTCAACAGAAGAAATTTTTCGTTTCGTTGACTTTTTACTCCTAGATTAATAAAAAAAAAAGAAATAAATAAATTCACTTGGTAACGAAAACTATCGCACTATTAAGTTTTTCTGCTAATTTATCGAAATGTATAAAACTAAATTTTTTAAACGTTTAATACTCATTCTTTCCAGTTTGATGAAGCATTTTTTAATTCACGACCTTCTGACAAGTCCACTGTCGTTTCGTGTAGAAGCTTTTTGACGTTTTGATGCCTTTTGCCATTAAAATTAAGTTGTCCATTCTCTATAGACTCGTTGTAGATGTGTGAGTTAACGCGATTTAAACGAAAGGCACGACATGACACTACTACAGTTAATATGCCAAAGGCTAAGCCGAAAATATCCCCTGCCAAGACATCCCACCAGTGATGTCTGTTGTCGCCAATCCTGGTCAATGAGCATATCACAGCCCACATGCATATCAGGCATTGTAGCCACGGTTTTAAGAAAAACGTCCTATTTGACAGACGATTTTGTAAGTACCACTGTAACAAACAGCAGAATAATCCTTTGTTTCAATTTATTAGCTGTATCATGGAGAAAAACTCATGCCGCCTCACCAGTATGTCCTATTAATTTACAATAACCTGTTCTACTTCCTACAGTAATGTAATTCTCTAATTCAATTAAAAAGTTTAATATCGTATTCGATAGAATGAAAACAAAAGATGTACATTAGTGACGTAACTGCAGAATAGAGTGACCTTTAGGTACATGAGTCATCTGACGAATTTCATGTTTTCTTAAGTTAAAAAAATATAATATTTTGTGATCTGAACTATTATCCTCGTAGATTATTATACAACACACTGAAGTTAGTTTTATAGTCAGATATTTTAGCGGTCTCTAAATAATGTTTGGACCAAAATGGCGGCAAGGACAACGATTTTATACCATAAAGAATAAGTGTGATCTTAATGAAATAATATAAGCATTCCATCATCGTGTGATACATATTCAGGGTGGACTACAAAACGTGATCAGCATAGATTATTCTACTGCTAGCTATTCGATCGAAAATTTTTTAGCATGCTTAAACATCAGTGCAGACGTCATAAATAGAACTAAGCAGGTTCTTTCTTAACCGTTTGCGCGGAATCGTTTTAATTAAAGTAAATGATATTTTCTTAATGTTACTTTGGTTTACAAGAAAAAAATTATTTGTTGCAATACCAAATTTGTCTCAGTATTCGCTAAAAGGTAGGCGTAAAGATAATATAAGTTTATCTATAAAACAACCGAAGGTAACCTTAAAAACTATGAAATAAAGAGTAAGCAAAAAACTTGGTACAATCATCTTAAGCATCTTAAGCATCTTGAATGATGTTACAGTACCCAAAACAATTTTCGATCGAACAGCTAGCAGGTGAATAATCTAAGCTGACCAAATTTCGTGGTCCACCCTGTATAATAAATTAAAAATAAGAATATACTGATTCTTACCACCAAGAAAACAGTTGTGAACATGGAAAGAGCAGAATGTCCCGACGGAAATGACTTACTAGAGTCAGAGACGAACCAGAACGAGTCTATTGTATTTGTACATGTATACGTTTCCACGTACCTGAAAGATAATATCAAATTATTGGTTTCATATTTATCCACGTAATGGAAACTTTCGTTTATAGCAATTATTTCGTTTCATTGAAATTACTAGAAGCCAAAGATAAACCTTAATAGCACATGACGCCTTAAGGACGCCCATTTTACGGCTATTTTAGGTCTATGGCGCCTTTAAGCCCTCTTCAAGGCGTCATTGGGCGTCATGTGCTATCTGGGAAGCGACCTTCAATACTTACTGGTCAGTACAATTCTCGGCCTCGCGTGGCTTACACGTGTCCAAAAAATGCGGTCTTGGTTCACCGACCAGAGTTTTCATGACATCGCACGTAAACATCAACGTAACTACTCCGATCATATACTGTCCATACCACAACCATATTTGTTTCATTCTCGAACCAGCGCATCCTAAAGCTATGTCGTAGCTATCTGCCGAATGACACATGTATTCTGCTATCCACATCTAAAATGAACAGTAATATTAACATCGATATTCTTAAAAAATTAAAAAATATTAGGTTAGTCATACATTAAATAAATGTAAGTACTTTCATTATTACTCAGTAAAATTTAACAGTTAGATATTGGTATATTGCGAATGTTTATGTAACTATTAGGTTGAGTTATAAATAATTTTCTTCCCTTTTTCAGTTTATACAGATACATAACACTTTACTATGAATCTTAAAGTATAGTCAGCCCGTAAACAACGCGGCAATTGGGACGCTGACGTTATCTAACTTTCAATTTGTATAGCGGAAGTTCTTTATAACTCAACCCAATATAAATTTTCGTAGATTATGATATAGTGTAAAAAAACGCGATTTTATTACGTGGAATAATGTATATTATACCAAAACAGACTCACATACCACCAGAATTGGGACTAGAAGACTTCCAACAAAGAGTGACGCGATGGAAATGGTATCGCCCATGAACTTGAAAGAAATCTTCGGGTCATTGCAGTAGAAGCCGATCCGCTGTTGCGGAACCGTTCCGAATTCTAATATCGTTAATAGTACTATAACTGAAACATACAACAATGAGATTAGGATACGTTACCAGAAATACCAGAACCACCAAAAATTGTAAAACTGGCAATACATTAAAGAATAACAGCAGAGTATCACGGAAAAGAAGCGATTACATGTATGTACCACTTTGTTACCCGGCGCCATTACGGTACCGTTCCTCCACTTACACAAACTATAAATATTTCTTTGCCTAAATAGTTTAGAAGTTCTTAATCTCAATGATTTCCCATCGGCTTTGTTCTCACTTTTGTTTCTAGCCATAATATGCAAATTTTGCACGTGTATGGGCAAGCCTAGCGACTCTAAAAGAAGAAGATGAAGGGGAACAAAATGATGATGATGATGACGAAGAAGAAAAGGAACAATAATGAAAGTAACAATGACAATGCGAAGGAAAAACAAAGAAAAGGGGGAACCAGATGAAAGAGAGTGTGTGAGGGGAGAGAGAAAGAGAGAGAGCGAGAGAAGGAAATGAAGAAAATACACGGTGTACTCTACGTTTAAATACCCACTCGAGGCAATACCGCGGAATGTACTACGCGCTTGTGACACTTACCTAATAGTTAAATACATATACGGCTGAGACGCATGCGTAAACGGCACACAGCATGTAGATTATGACCATACAAATCACTGATAAAAAGAACGAGCTTCTGCTTCTATGCAATCCGTAAAAAGCTGAGGGATTGAGATGAATGGAAATGTGCGTAAAGCCACAATTATCGTTACTGACAGCTTTTGGTATTGCGAATTCTACGGAGTTACTGTAAACTATGAATAATTTATTGTTTCCGAATTTATTGCTAATCATATTTTTTTGGTTTAGAAGTGATGAGTTGCGAGTATTGAAATCAGACTTCATTTTAAATGACATTTACAAACTGATAGAGATCTTTGAGATAAAGTAAAATTGCTCAGTTCATATCAATGAAGGTAAAAATATAAAATTCGCAGGTTTTTTTAAATCATATCGAAATCTTTGTTGTTTGCGCAACACTTTTTGAATAATTTTGTCTTTTGCGACGACGATATAGAGCCATTTTTGGGCGAAAACGGTCCACTATCACATGATATCGATGGGTAAATATTAGGTCACCCATAAATTCTATTTCTCTCTACTTTTATTTCTTCTGTTTCTCTCATAAAATCCTTATCCTGACATATTACAGCATTTTTAATTTTTCAACGCAATATGTTTGCTGTTACTTGTGTTTAACAGTAGGTTTACGGGACGCGCCATTTTGACGCATTTCGAATGCCTTGTAATCTCGAAATTCTCTATGTGGTATACTTATCGTTAATTGAGTATTAAAAAAAATAAGTTGTTTTTTAAACAAAATGTGCGATTTCGTTGGTGCGTGTCTATAGAGATAGGAGTATAAGAAATGTCCGTAAACCTAGTATTAACATTTTTCAGTTTTTTGCGCACTTACCAAAAAATATTACACAGGACAAAGTAATTGGTCATTATAAAAAACAACGTCCGAATTAACACGCTCGTTACTAGCGTCACATACACTCCCGTTCATAAGTTTTAGGACACTTATCAAATATGAAATAAACGTAACAAGGCATGACGAAATTGTTGAAGAATAAATTAAAGATTGTTTGGGGGATATTAAAGCTCAATTGACAACACTTACGGTAATACATAGTAATGAAAATGGCGTGAAATACATAATTTTTATGAAATGTACTTTCTTCATACAGACCAGGTGTCGTAATGTTTACCAACGGCAGGGTGTGTGTCGTCCCAATTTCTGAATCACCATATTTTATTAGATAAAAGTAGAATGTGTTTTCCAATATTCTTTTAATATTTTCTCATAAAGGTAAACAAATTCCACTGACGGGAGTGTCTTCGTGAGTAGAATGATGGAAACCAGGCGTGGTTTGTGACGAACGTTTTAAAAATAATGTGGTGGTAGCGAACATGTTAAGATGTTATCGAATGTATTAATCAAATTCACAACCGTCGAATATACCTACATATGTATAATGCTACGGACCTTTACATCTACAAATTCAACAATTCCTGAACATTTCAATGATTCCATCCTTTCCTTCCCTTTCTCTCTTTTAATTGATTGAAAAGTCCGAATATAAAATTCTTCGATTTTTCTGTTAAACATACAGAAACATATAAAAACGTTGCCACATGAACTTTCGGATTAACGTAATATTAGGTGTTCCAATAAGTAATTCATCAGTTACAGTAAAGGCGTAGTACAATTTAAATTCAGAATTCCTTTCCGATTTTTTGTTCAGTCAAAATGACGTGGAATGTCGCAGACAAATAACAAATATTGTGAAAGTACCATGTTTAGGTTCCATCCGAGAATATAGAATTGTGTAAAACACTTGTGGATTCCTTATTAACTTATGAGTAGACAGCGGATGTTTATGCAAGTAATAAATATACATCTTTCTTGCTCATTTTAGGAAAACTGTCATAAATAAAAATTCTTTTACTTTTATAAGGTTTCTATTAAGGTCCAAATAAAATGGAGATCTCATCAAACTTGATTAAATATGTTTATATATTCAGTCTTAAACAGTCATATACGTTATAAATGCATCAAATTCGCAGTCTACTTATGAGCGACGGTGTGTACGGGATGTCCAATTTTATTCAGTGATCCTTTAACATGTTTTGCAATACCACAGTTCATTGACGTTTCACCGCGTGCATGTGCGACTAGTTATTTAATGCGACACGCCCGGGAAAAATTCTAAGCCGACTGTCGACCCGGTTGGTATTGTGTTACTCGGTTCGCGGTTTTCCAGTCAACTCTCATTGCATGCATGGTTTCGTTTCTAGCGTATGCTTATTCGCATCCAAGCGCCGATGCTTTGAATGTAATCAAGCGTCTACAATTCAATCGATTTTCAATATTTCTTTATATTGGGTTCGATCGTAAATAACTTTCGCCACGAACATTGAAAAGTTACTAAATCGTAGGTAAATAACAATGATAATACAAAAAACATTTATAATTTAGTAATAGTTTCCAGATAGCACATGACGCCTTAAAGACGCCCATTTTATGGCTATTTTAGGTCTAACAATAAGGCGTCTTTAAGCCGTTTTCAAGGCGTTATTGGGAGTCATGTGCTATCTGGGTTACTACGGTTTATAATGATTGAGGATATGATTGAGACAAGAAATAGATTAATGTTAATAGCGAAATACAATGTCTTGTATCGACGGAAATTTCGAAAAGGAAAACAGAAGTTATTTATGATTGAATTCTCAGTATTTTACAGATCAGTTGGTTTTTCCACGTGTGAAACGTTACGAGTTTCGAACAGTGATTCACTACTGTTTATGCGCATTGTTTGATTTGGTACTTGCAACCAATTTAACCCGAAAGTGACATCTCATTTTCAATAATATTTCGTGTTATATAGACTAGTAAATAAACTTTGTAGGCCAATATAGCTACAGGTTAACAACTTTCTTGAATATGTTGTTAATTCTAATACAGTTTCATAAAAATAATATAAGTGTAGATATTAAATGAATGCAATGAGGGTTAAAAAATGGTGAAATTAGGCACTATATGTACAGAATCGTGCAAATTGTCAGATGTAATGTAGTGTTTCCACAATTTTCAATTTCTTTACAGAAATATTAAGACTATTGAAAACAACTATTACCATATGGAATATATAATTAGGATGTTTCCTACGGTTACAAATTACACTTAGGCCAGGAAATGCGAAAGAAATGATTTATTCCTTCTTTCTCTTACCTTAAACAATTGGTATTTCTTGTACAAGCAAATATCACCTATTATCTTACGTATTTGAATATTTATTTTCGTATTTTCTTCGTTTATATGTTTCTGCAATTTCGATGCATTTTTTAACAGCGTTTAATTGTATTGTATTACTTAAACGAAATGCTAAGTACTTAAGCTTTGATCTAAAGTATATAGAGTTATATTAATTCTTTAACTCGAATATTATGTTGCTTAAAAACAGAGAGATTCACAGTTAACTTGTAAATATTTTAAATGAAACGATATTTATAAAATAAATCTAATAATTTGCACAGCTTGGTGTATGCATTCAAAATACGATAGTATTTTTTTTATATATATTATATACTTGTTTCTGCAATTACACAATTATTATTACACAACATGTTAATATATTATTGTGTAATATAATATTGTAAGGGTGTTTCATTTATACCTAACCCAGACACTGGCAAAAATATGGCAAACATTGATATGTATTAATATCTATATGTATTGCGATTGGTCAAAAGAAAAATAAGACGTACTGTTTATTGTGTGAAAACTGCTTTTTTTAAGAATTCTTTGTTAATGGTCAAGTTAATGACAAAATACATATGTGCACGATTTAATAATATAATTAGTATAATACACTAACATAAGGGTATAATGTAATTGATAATTCTGTAATTCAGAGATCACAGACGTTGTCTAGGAATTGCAAACGATATGCACTTCCGACTATATACCTAGTTATCTCCTAATATAATAACCGCCGCTTCAATTAACGAACTCTCGCTTCCTCGCTGCTATCAGAGAAACGTGTGAATTTGATCAGTACAAAATGTTTATTGACATAATTGTGAATACGTAATGCTTACAATCTACTCGTGTATACTTAAACACCAATGATAATGAATGAAGTCATATTGCAACAATGAATCTAACAACTGAAGTCAGTAAACTATCCAAGTAGTGATATATACGAGTACTGAGAGTCGCGAAATACAAATTTTTTTGAGCCGTACCAATTGTTACATTTTCAATTTTCTTTACTTTTCAATCAGCGCACAATTCTACTTACTTTGTCACCACTTTTATTACTATCGATATATTAATATTATAACATAATTACTAGACTGTACATGTTTGTTTAAATAAAAATTTTCATGAAGTACTTTGTAAAACAGAATTAAACACGAGCTTTCTTTACCCCAATAAGGATTCTATCAAATTCTAAATAGAATGGAAACTTCATTATAAACATTTTACTCTGTTGAGTATTAAATAGTAATAATAAAACTAGGGCCGTTCCTGGGTTTTTGGCCGCCCGGGTGTAAAAACAGTATCGCCGCTATAATATGTTATACAGGCTGTTTCGGCTAACTTGATCACCTCGAATAATGACTTAACGTTACAAAAAATAAGCTGATCTTCATACGTCCTAAACCTAATAGTTAAAGAGATATTTACCAAATAATTTTGTACTTACTATCAGGGAGTTATAAATGCTCGAACTGATGCCCCTCAACTTCAATACAGTGATTATTTTGTAAATATCTCGTTAACTATTAGGTTTAGGACGTATGGAGGTCAACATATTTTTATTCAGTACAAAAAAATAGGCCAGTCTGTTAAATAAAATCAAGGTGACCTTAAATTCTCTGAAATACCCACACCTACAAAACAGCACGTACCTTATAAGTAGACTGCGGATTTTTATGCAAAATGGTATTTTCTAAAGTAATTTATACAAGGAAGAGCAAATGTAGGAATTTCTTTCTTTTCTTAAGTATCATATTAAATTCGAATACGATTCAACGCAATGAGAACAAGAATTAAAAAAAAAATGTAATACCTGTTAGTGCGAGGAAAATATCCAAAACGAGCACCCAGCGTATGGTATTTTTGCAGATACTCATGATCTTTTCGGAAACGGTACCGGTTATTTCCCCGTCCGGATTATCCAGGATCTCTTCCAGCGTTGTTGTGCTGCAGTGGGTCAGTTGTTCCGTTGATCTCTATAAAAATAAGATATTTCAAATGCAAATAACTCGATTACGCTTGTTAACTTCGCTCCTCTATGCACCATAGGCACAGGCTGCTCTATCTCTTTGCTATTTAAAACAAACACTTTCCGTCGAGCTACTGCATATGCAAACAGAAAGGATAATAACGACTTATTTGTGTTCCCTTGCAGGCGAATACAATCCCGATGATTAACTTTACACAGACAGTATTTAATATTAATCGCCGAGACAGTGTTCCTGATGCCTAGCAATGATGATGACCAATTGAAATGTAAATGACACAGTCTCTCACCTGACTGAAACGAGCTCGTTAATAACATCGAAGTGACGACGATTGGTCCAACGATATAGTGTATGGGTACCAATAAGAAAGATCGGAAATTTGGAGTATTGAAACGGCAGAAGCGATACTACAACGAGAGCAATCAACCGGAACTAACCTCTTAATATCGTCTGGCTGCCCTTGACACACTCGACCGCCTACTTACGGTCAAATCCTTTGTCTTTCGGGAGCATTTTTCAATCGCCTTTAAATTCATTCTTTTCTTCTTGTCTTTATTTTTAAACAATCGCTTCACTGATACGACGTTCCCAGAAACGAAATGCGAAACGGTTGAATTAAAAAAAAAAACAAAAAAGAATAGGAAGAAGGTTTTCCATCCGTTTCCGTGATCGCTTTACGTGAAATTATTTCGACCACCTGTTGACGCAATGTACGCGAGCTTGGGATCTATTGTACAAATGCCTACTTCTCCAAAACGAATAAAAGCGACGATATATTTCGTTCCCACGTTGTTCGGAACGAATTTTATATTGTTTTTTCTTGTCACGAAGCTGTTCTATATCGAAGCTATAGGTGCGTGCTGTTAAAATGTCGAGAGTTTAGGTATACGTGGTGTTTCGAGCGAAGCATATTGACGGGCCAATGAAATGTGCCACCGTTAATTGGGTCGAGGTTTAAAAATGCTCGATTAATGATACTTGATTGAAAAACATCATAGCACATCCGCATTTTCAGGAGGGAAGACAAGCAGTTTTTAACCGAGCTACGAGGTAATTAGGGGGGAAACCTTATGCACCCTCCGACACGTGAATCTGATTCTAACGTGTGTTTAAAAGATACTGTTCAAAGCGTTTTGGATAGAGCCTTGGATACCTATTTGTATCTATTTATTATTGTTATTCATAACACACTTTTCAACGTACAAAGTGCCAGGTTTCGAACGGGTGTATAGAAACGATTGCGCCAAAGTCAAGGAATTAATATACGTAACAATATCTGTTTGTTACAATATGGTTTTGATTAAAGCCTGATTTGGGTTCTCCTTCGGGTACACAAATACACTGTTTATTTATGACAGGAAGTAATTTTAATCCAACAAGTATAATTTTCTAAATGATTATGACACAATGCGTATAAGGTACAGCAAACATTATACTGAAGTTGAGAAATTGAAATGACTAATATGAGTAACAATAATTTTTCTTTCCGTATAGAGTCGAAGCCAAGTTCTGGTCTCTGTGTATAAACTTGTAAAATATTTATTAGACCAGCAATTTCAATGAAACAAATATTCTTTTGTAATTACTTATAATAAAATTCTTGTGAAATTAAATAATGTAATAAATTCTTGTTAAATTATTACTAATGTAAGTAATAATAATTAACTTTTGATTAGAATCTGTGCTATGGTCTCGTTTAGATTTAAACAAAGTTTACGAACATGTGAATTACTTGTTAGGGTAACTATTTCCACGAAAAAGATTCTGTGTTCTAAGTACTAACGCTGCAACTAATCGACGTTTTATTGCTTATAACTAGACTGCGGATGTATAGTAAAATAATGAGTTTAATAAATGTTAATGTTATCGATGTATTATTATTAACATTCTGAAGTCTCTAGTACAGGAAATAAAATTCTGTCCACCTTCAGTTTATATATACTAGTATCTAAAATTTGTAATTTGCATGAACTTTCGTAGTCTATTTATCACATTATAAAGCGTCTCGAGAGTATTTAATATATTCCAAACAGAAAATACGTATCATATGAAGAACAGTATGTTTCATTGACTAGGTATTCTGTAGATTTAACAAGTAGATAAATTTAATGATAAAGAAATCGGATAATCGGATTTATCAGTTCATACAGTAATACTATATGTATCATACACATAAATAATCTTTTCACGAACACAAATTTACGGTCGACGAAATTTCGAAAAATATATACGTACAATATTTTAACACTTAATAAACGTGTGATTCACGTTGTACAAAATACCACAAAATTACTTCCTTACTTATAATAAGAGTCAGCCAGTAATCAACGTATAAAACGAGTGAATCAGCAACAAGCTAAAGAACTAGAATAATTATAATAATACCCGGTGGCGTGGTATACATATACTTTACTTACGAGGGCGAGCGTTCGCTTCGAACGTAATAATTAGCGTTTCGGCGTTAATTGATTCTCGGATAAAAGGGAGGGCACTGAACACCTTTTAACCCCGCGCACATCTTACTCGGATCGTCACACTGGAAATTATTTCGCGAACTACTCATCGTCCGATTGAAATTAAAGGAATTATAAACAACCGAAAACTGAACGGCGAAGTTACTGTCTCGATAAAAGTAAGAAACAAATTTGTTGTTTTTGGTATATTACAACCGACAAATGATGTTCCAGGGAGGAATTCGTTACTGTCACTGTTCCACGATACGGTTTTATGTTTACGGAAACATGCGATACGTTTCCGAATAAAAAAAAAATAAAATAAAGAAAAACACAAAGCAATCTAACCCGAAGCAACGTCCAAGCACAACTGGCGTACCTCGTCTTCAATCAACGACTTCCCTCGCAAGCTCGAATTAAATGTTCTGCCCACCCTCTCGCCTCCCCCCGCCCCTTTCCCCGCCCTCCAGCCCCACCAACCAAAGGATTCGACACGTGTGGTGTGGTTTACGCGCAAACGTTCCGATACCACCACCAAGATGAACGGTAAGAAGTCCAAAAACTAGACGATCCCACAAGAAGCGTGCCACGATGTTCGTAGTACAAACGAAAGAGACAGTTCGTGTAAATGCAGAGATACGCCGATTATTTGCATTGTTGTACTTCTTTTTCTATACGCTTTTTTTCAGCTAAATCGATTCTTTCGAACGTTTTGTGTATAAGAAAATTAGGGTAAGGTATTCGAGGAATCAATAATTTAGAAAATTTGAAGACTTGAAGATCATTGCTGAGATGCACACTTCAATGCGTCAAATGTCCAGCAACATGATCCGTAAAAGAAAATATCTTTACGAATACAATGCCTTAATTGGATATTGCTATACGTAAATTGATTAAAAAATGCAGTGTGTGTGTAAGAGAATGGACATACAGTGTTTCGTCGTTGTTCGTTGTAGTTGAAACAGGTGAGATTCTACGATGACAGACAGGTGTGTTACTGTCAATCAGAATTCATTCAAAATAATGTATTTTTAAAATCAAAGACAACGGCGATATTCAACATGCTCAAATTAGACGAGATACCTTATACATACGGTAATGTGGACTAATTAGAAAAAACAAACTCAATCACATAGGACATAAAATATGCACACCTTCGAACGGCCTGATGTGAAAAAAAATTCATTTTTTTTTTAATTATACTACATCACACTGTAACGGCCTGAACGGTAAAGGTTTTTTGGTAATTTCTTAAAAGAAAACTACTTTTCTTTATTCCACATATAAGCTTTAAGAAAGTATTTCTGTTTACTTCATTTGTAACAATTTATAGGATTTGGAAGAACCCAAAATTAGGGCTGCAAACAAATCTTCGCTAACTGGTTCACGATTTTCCGGCCAAAAGGTTCATCTGCAATAAAAAACGCAAAAAGTTTTAGAAACTAGATGCTCTTGGCTATGGCACGACATAGGGTATTTAGAAAATTTTGAAAAATATTTCATACTTTGAAGAAAAAATTTCAGATTTTGTTGGTCCTTATTGTGGAAGAAAACATAGAAAGAAACATTCTATCAAAAAAATCCTACGTGTACCATAACCAAGAGCATCTAGTTTCTAAAACTTTTTGTGTTTTTGATTGCAGATGAACCGTTTGGCCAAAAAATTGTCAACCAGTCAGCAAAGATTTTTTTGCAGCCCCAACTTTGGGTTCTTCTAAATCCTACAAGTTATTACAAAGGAAGTAAACAAAAATATTTTCTTAAAACTTATACGTTGAATAAAAATCCCTGCAAATTTGAAAGATTTATTACGTAGTTTCTTTTTAATAAATTACCAGAGATACCTTGACTTTTCGGGCCGTTACGGTGTTGTCCCCTCTTAACCCTTGCGTGGACAACCAAAATATTCACGGTTATTGAGCAAACGGAATACTCTTATTCTGACAGATTAGATAAACATAGATAATTTTAATTCCATACTTTTCCAAAACTCTTAGCTGTCCCTTCTTACAATATACCAAGTGCTGTTTTAAACAAGAACTTTTTTTTACTGTTGAATTAAAAAAAATATTTATTCATTCAAACGTGACATTTTACTGTTACCTTTTTTCGTATCGTCAAATAGATTGGTCTCTCGAGGTACATAAAACGCCCTATACAAATGGTGAAATTCTGGATTTTAATTAACGATAATATATTAATATTACTAATACAAAGAAAAAATCTTTAACACGTCATTAAAACGCAGAAAAAATGGAACCGATACGAGCAGATACGTTTTTTACTTTATCGGCATCGCGACATTACTGATTGATAGAACTCATTGCACATCATATTTGTTGCTAATATTCCTTAAAACACCTGATAAGCTGTGATTGATGCAGCACTTCGAATAGACACCCGAATGCGTCTTCACACGCGTAATGAATCTGATGAATAAAAATACATAGTTCCACACAAAATACTGCACTGAATTTCTCGCATAAGTTCAAACAATTTTCATTTGAATAAGCTTTTCGTACTCTCAAAAACTACAGATATAGTAATGTGTCTACTGATATTGTACTGGTTTAGACATTTTTGGGAACATAAACATCGGTTAGGGTTAAGTCGCGGTTAATTCTAAGCTAGACAGAGGAAGGGAGTTCCTGGGCTAGACAGATAGGGGGGTACCTTGGAAGGCTACTGCATAGGGTGAAGTGAAAGTTCTCTTGCATGATTCACAGAAATATTCTACACCCGGAAATAAGAACAAAAACGTAATAAACCTAGGTCAAAGAACTTATTGTCGAGACGACATATTAACGCGTGCGTAAATTCAAATGAAAGCTATTTCGACTATTTGCTATGACATTCTAAAGTTACTTAAACTGCCTGTATTTTTGAAACAAAAGGATTTTTGACTTTAGTTTATTACAACTTCGTTCTCCGTGCTGAGAAGATAATGAATACGACTGCAAATTATGTGACAGAACTTTCTGACGACCCTATACATATATGTGTGCATAGATAGTAAATGCTATCATGTCGTGTTGGAACCAATATACACCGGAATATCCCTTAACATTAGTGGCACAGAATATTCAAGTACTCTATGTCAGCGGTAGCATGGTACATCTGACAGGATTCTTCTGCAAGTAAGGTTGGCAAGTATGTACATTATAATAATAACGCGAATTCGATTCCGGCTCCAAGAAATGGGAGTTATTCACTAACGAGTAATACTACCCCTGCGAGGATGCGATCACGCCGTTTGGAGTTTCCGATGACTTGGCAATATGCGAACGCCGCTAATTGGCATTGCAAATTGATTTATGTTTCGTTTGTTATATTAAAACAATACCATTAATTTGTACTTAATTTACTTTAGTTTAGTATAATACATTTAATATAGAAACTAAAATTGAAATTCAATAAATATTATCACAGGTAAATAACATATTTGCAGAAAATTCAGTATCACGATAGTCTGAATAAAAAATACAAGTCACGTATATCTACTCAGGCATCTGTTTACGGAGCAGCAGCGAATGTGTTAATACTTTAAGACCCGTCGAGATATTCTCCGAGAAACATTTTTTCTCGTCTTGCAATTCATTTAGCTAACTACAACTATGATTTGTTGTAATTGGCGGAAAAATATGAAGTAAGTATCGATTGGAATTCGAATTAACTCTCACTTAAGTTTAAACTAGGTTTGAGTTAGAATATAAATTTTAGAGTTTACAAAAATAAATGACATATGAACACAGGTTCCCCGGCAAATACACAAGAAAGTTAAGTAAAAATTTGTCAAGTAACGCAGAAAAATCAAATACAATTATTAATCAATGGAAGTTACATAATTGCAAATTCATGTTAGTATTGTGACAGGACATATGTTTATGTGTCCATTCCTAAAAGTAAACTACCCAAACATTATGCCTCCTGTTGATGTAATGTATGAAAATGTTCTATCCACAAAAATCCATATAAAAACTTTAATAAGTTAACTTCTGTCAAACAGTTGTACAATTCTAACCTGCATGGTCCACGTGCAATAATATATGCTGCTGTTGATTGAATAGTTCAAAAAATTATTATTTACAACATTCTATAGGTAAATCACAGACTTGATACAACGTAAGATAAATAATAAAATCACTTATACAAGTACGATCACCGGAAAAGTTCAGTCAAGTTCAGTTGACAGTTCACTGACAAACATTGCTTGAAACAGCGTCATTGTATGATTCAACCACGGTGACTAGGTAGAGGGAGGGGGGAAATAAATTCTTTACACAAGTCACGAAATTGTCCCATTTTCAGTCATTACAACGAAAGACATAATTCATTTAAGTTAAAAAATACATAAAATATCAAACGCTTGTTATCTCTTTTTCTGCCTTTCTTGAAATAATATTTGAGGAATTTAAATACATATATATACAGGTGTTTAGCGATATTATATTTTGTCACACGAATTATGTCAAATAAATCAATAAAAACCGTTAATATTATCTCTGAATTTTGAATATTAAAAATACTTATATTACATTTTTATTGGTCCAACCCCCAATTTTTTTATCATTTAAACTAACCAATGAATGCCCTTTGTTTATCATATAAATTTAAGGTTGTAAACACGGTAAACACAGCGACATCTTAACCTTAAACGACATCCATGACTGATCCATGACGGAAATCTAATAATAAAGACGTAATTAAAAGATAAAACACGGAAAAGCATTTTTCCATTGTTATCAACAAGATTCACAGGCTTTTTTCATGTTACCGTAAGATATCTATACGTTTACCTGAATAATAAAATATCAATAACTTCATGTTCCTAATGATTAAATTGCTTATTTTCTTTCTAAAAAGACGCAATTATAAAAAATAAATATGTTAATTAATAATGTTTTGCATGTATTAGAACTTAAGTGTACTATTTCTTATTGCAGCTTTGTATACAGTTTAAGTTTAAAATGAGCATATACAGTGATATTAAAAAAGTAACACAGATACCTTTCACAAATGAGAATTCATCATTTATAAGGCATAGAGAATGTAGTATGCCTGTACGAAATCGAAAAGTAAATAAGCAAAAACCTCCACTAAATGCAAATGTGAGTAATTATATCTTGTCTTTATATTAAACTGCAAAACAATATTCCAGATTATTATAAAACATAATTCTACATTAATAATTTAATATTTAGTTATAGTTCCTAATTTAATATTCCTGATAAATTTAAAAAGTCATTATTTGTACCTCATAGTTATACAATGAAGATGACAATGAGAATGACGATGATGATCAACAAAAGTCCAAAGGTATACCACAAGAACTACATGAAAATGAGATTGCATCGTCTATTAAAGAGGTGAACATAATTTATTAACTACAGACTGCTATAAAAATATATGTACAAATGTAATTTTTATTCACAGGCCAATTGTGGTATCAATTATTCAAATGAAAATCTTGAGGAACATTGGAAGGCTAGACAAGTGGGAGCTAGTTTAAGCACTTTTGATAAAACTAATTCTAACTGTACAAATTCATGCGATGAAACAGAAAATATTGAAGATGAGGAATTAGTTTTAAAGAAATGTAAACTTAATAAAAATGCAGCAATCAGGGGACTCTTAAGAAATCATCAAATCTCATTGCATGATTTACACATACCCAGTAATTCTGTAGATGTAGAACGTGAAAGTGGGACAAATTTACAGGTGAGTGTAAATTATAAATTTTATATTCTTGTTGTAAAACTGATTAACGTAAAACTATAAAACTGAATTAAAATAAATCACATTTGTATTACGTATGATAGAATGAAAACATTCCTTCACCAAACAAATTAGCTGAAGGGATCTATAACATGAAACTAGTTCAGTACCCGGAAGATCCAGAAGTTTTTGTTCAACCTATACATGCATATGGTAAACTAAATGAAAACGAATATAAAGACATTGATTTTTCTGTACCACATATAGGCAAAAAATTAGTGGTTACACCACGACAGTTTTATGTTAACATGGATGACTCGGGATTTGATTTTGTGAAAAAAGATGTAAAAAGGAAAAAATTATCCATTTGAATAAATATAAAATTAGAATTTTATTTATAGTTAACATATTCACTATCACTGTTCATTTGAACAACCATCCACCACAGTGTTACACTTACATACCTTTATTTAATACAGCATATCGCCTTCACTAAACATTAAAAAAAAAATGTGTGATATTGAATGTGTTAATTTCAGTTTTGAATAGAGATAAAAAAAAAGTCGTTTCTATGGCTTAATGAAATATTGGGAATTTTTTTCTGAAATGTTATTCAGTTTTAGTAAAACTGCATGTAATTTCTTTAAGGATTTTGATTCCCTTAGTAATCATCTATATTCGATGCTGTTAATAGTTTAATTGATTCTTGGAAAGAGAAAAATGTTGTACAAAAATCCGACATGATGTATGCTTGGCATAACAGTCAAGATTTTCAAATACAACATTAAGACCTGTAGTGAAATACATCTTGTATGTAACGGATTAATATCTAATTTAGATGAACTCCTAACACTACCTTGTATAACTTGAACATTATAATACTTATCCAACGATCTTAATGTACATGTAAAAATTTAGCACTTACTACTTTTGCGACAAACCATGTAATACGAAATATGGTGTGTATGTAATATAATGTATGTATGAAATGCAAACTATTTTTTACCAATTTTTTATAGTAAAAATACTAAGCACAAAATGTAGTGCATTGTATTCAAAATTGTTAGTTGTACATTTTAAAAAATAAGGTCTTAAAAAAAGTAAATGTTAATAATTTTTAATGAAATTATGTTTCTTTTACTACATTTTAATAATGGTGTTTTAAATAAAGAAAATAAATTTTAAATAAGTCGATCAAAATAATAAATTGGAAACTTAGTTGGTCTCTTAATAATTCATGAAAATTTTCGTACAACCTTTTGTTATTTTTAAATGCATAAGTCCGTTTGGCTTTATTATAAGTTTGTCATTTATAATTTTCATATGAAGTATTGTAAAACAATATTAGATGTCAATATTTCGTAGGTATAAAATATTCTTATGTAAAATATTTTTACAAAAGCAATAAAAATCGTTATATCCAATTTATTTTTATATTAAAATGTAATAAAATTTGTATTTATGTACAATATTGATAACTATACTAGAAATTGTTAATTGATAATATTTTAAATATTGTTGGAATTCTACTTTGTATACTATAGAACAAACTCAAAATAAAATTGTTATTATATTTTCAGAAAACATCTGTGTATTTTATCTCCTGTGATAATTAGTAATAATAACTATCAACAAGAAGTCACAGTTATGGAATCAGAGTTTTAAACAATTTTTCTATGAAACATACGGAAGAAGATCATGCCATTGCTTAGGATTAACAAAGATCTGGTAGACTTATCAAAAACAGATCAGTGAATTTTTAGTTTAGTTTTTAAAGGGTTACTGATTTTCCATTTGGAAAGTAATATAATTACTTAAAATTTTAAATATATTTTTCAAAAAGTAAGAGTTATCATATATCTTTGTGTTATTTTTATAACTGGCTGTACAAAATAAAATACAAATTTTTGTGTAAAAGTGAAAATTCAGCTGTATTAACACTGTACTTTTGCATAACGACACACACAAGTACTTGAACAAAAATAACAATCAAACGGTACTGTAACATTTCCTGAAGATTTCACACTGTTAGCTATTGCAGTTAAGTTAAATTCCACAAATTTTCTTATGTAATAATGAATGCAAGGATTACCACAAACACAATACTTTGCTTCATCTAAATGTTTTACCAATGTAAATGGAATTGAACTAGCATCATATGGAATTCTGCAAATAAAGTATAAAATTATAGAATTTTATTAAACTGTTAGGAAAGTAATTAATTTACTTTACATTATCTGCATTAATTGTGTGAAATACAAACCTTGCTTTAATGACTGATCTGCTTGCACATTCCACTAAACTGGGTACGTCCATATTAGTCATAGATTGCAAATATTCACCATCAAATACATTTTCACAGACATCTAATGTCAGTAATCGTAAATTTCTCATGCTTCCTGGTATATATTTTAAATTATTCTTCGACACGTCCAAATACTTCAATTGTGGTAATGATCCAAGACTTTGTGGTAAATGTGACAATATATTTTTGCTAGCTTTGAAATTAACAAGGGCACGGAGCTTTCCAATCTCTTGTGGTATTATAGTTAACTGCATAGGAAATACATAAAACAATATTATAATTACATATATTTATATGAAAATTTATTATTTGTGAAATATAAACATACCAAGTTGTTACTTATGTCTAATAATTTCAAATTGTACTTTATACCAGGTTGGTCTAGCCACATCCATTTGGTGGATTTATTAAGACGATTCTGTGATAAATTAAGTTCTTGTAGATGCTTCAACAAACCTAATTCTTTTGGTACAGATGAAATGTGATTATTGGATAAGTTTAATATTCGCAAGCTTTGGAGCCTTAAAATTTGTCTATCAAAAGATTTTCTGGTTAATCCGACCAAGTATAATTCTTCAGTCGTTCTTGGAAAACCCTCTAAAGTTGGATACTCTGAAGACTTGTTCACCACAACTTTAATTTTTGGAATAGACCTCATGCTTTTTGGATTTAAATTTGAAATAGCCAAAATTGATGGATCTATTTGCTTAGACATTCCAAGCTTTAATGTATGAATAAAACTTTTCAGTTGAATTGTATCAGATTGAATAATTAAATCATGAGGTGGTTCTATCAGACGTATTGTTGCTTTTCCTTCATTAATAAATTTGGTAAATATTTTATCTATGTTATTATCAATCTGAAATTAGTCAAACAGAAAATGTGATTTCCCTTTACTATTTTATATTTCAACGAAAATGATTAAATCTTCTACCTTATATTTAGTCCCCTGTTTATTTTGCAATGTTTGCCAAAGTATGCACAAGTCATTGCTTTTGACTGTATGTCTTCCAATTGCTAATACTGAACGTTGTGGTTTTCGTCGTATTATATTTATAGAAGAGATTCTGTTATTAACTTCCACATTGCAGTGCAGTTTCATTTTCAATTTCTCTTAAATAAGCAGATAGTAAACCAAAACATTTAATGGAAGAATCTTTTGTTATTAGTGCTTATCTATTTATAACACAAAGTAATATAAATTCATTATATGAACTTAATTTACATAAATATTTTGTATAAACACGATGAATATTTAAACATCGACACTTTTGCCGTATTTAACAGATTATAAAAGAATGTAAACAAATTCTTTTTTTGCGCGCGAAATTTACAAATGAATGAGTGTCCTACAGTTATGTTTACATTGTTTAGCTCCAGCTGGCTATAGCTACACTGGCTCCACTGGCTACAAATGATTCTTATCGTTCTTACCAACTTAATCTTCAAATTTCATCGCCTCCTTACACTATTCGTCAATTTTCATATCTATTAAAATTTGTAAAAGCAAAGATTTTCATTATCAGATTTAAATGTAGTTAAAGAGAAACCAATAAGCGCATACTTATTGACGAAATAATATATTATTCTGTTTTTATTGCATTCAGAAAAATTAGTTTGGCAGTAGTGTTTAAAGGCGGGAAAGCGTGAGTGCAAATGAAGGTGAAAACGGTGAAAACCAGTGAAAACCTACTATCCAAGTTCATTTGTTTGTAATATTTTGAAATGATACTATGCTACATAAATTAACACATTATTTTAAATAAAAAACGGGAATTTATTTTCTGTAAGTATATATTCATACTTATTACTTTAGTTAAAGTTAAAGCAAATTTCATTATTGTGGATTTATATAAAGTTTTTGGTGTTTATGATACGTGAATTTTTAATTATTTTTGTGATTATTAGACAGTGGATGTTTATGCAAAAACTTTATGATGTTAAAAGAAAATTTATTTACCTTGTTGTAAAAAGTTTCATTGAAAGAAAAATATATTTACATTGTTAAAGGTTCTAGTAGATTCAAAATAAAAAGAAAACCTGAATAAACTTTCTGAATCTTTTTATTATATTAAATTTTAAATGATAGGATATTCTATACATGCATAAAATCCGTAGTATTATATATTATTGTAATTATATTTATAAAATTTATATAATTTATATGTTATCATGCTCTAAATGTATATATAATTTTTCAATTGTAATTTATATTTCTAATAGAATTTTTTAAATTAATAATCAAGAAATGTGTGTTTCAATACTCTGCTAACTTAAATTTGTTTTTTTTTTCAGTATGAAAGAATGTCAGCTTGATTTATATCCTTTAACTTTGAGCTTGGATATCATAATGAGACCTGGCAGTTCAAAATCTTCCAAACATGATCAATCAATACTTGATATGTTCGCTAAACAAGTTACTAAAAGAAAAAGAAAAGACTTGGATACCAATGATGAACAACAATCACAGAAGTTAGAAGATAATACTTTAATAGAAAATGGGTATGCTAAAGAAAATTATAATCCAGATGCGAATAAAGAATATTCCAAAGAGAATTTTGAAAAGAAAGTTAAGACTGAGAACAGTACCAGTGCACCGGTAGTTCAAGTTAAAAAAACAAATGTTTTCCTTGAAAAATGTGATTACTGTCATCAAAAATTAAACAACGATTTAACATTCTATCCAGGACATCCAAATGGTGCTGTAGATGAAGATATTGCTTTAATTGATCCAAAGTTATGTTTATTTAATGGAGATGAGTCAATCATACATGAAGGTGATCAATATCCCCAAAATAAATTAACCCACTTTAGGTGAAGCTTCACATTTTGTATTTCACGAGAACATTCTACAATTTATAATTCATACATATTTTTTTTTGCTATATATTGTAGCGTGTATGATAAAAATGGCCATTTATGTCCTTTTGACACTGGACTCATAGAAAAAAATGTTAAGTTATATTTTTCTGGATACATAAAAGCAATTTATGAAGAGGATACATCTCCTGAAGGTGGAGTCCCTGCTAAAGATATGGGTCCGATAAACGAGTGGTATGTTGCTGGGTTTGATGGAGGTGAATTAGCTCTCATAGGTTTCAATACAGCGTTTGCTGAATACATTTTAATGGAACCATCAGAGGCATATTCTCCTTTCATTGATGTTGTTAGAGAAAAAATATACATGAGTAAATCAGTTATTGAGTTCCTCTTAGATGAAACTAATCCCACCTATGAAGACTTACTCAACAAACTTCAAGTAATTAAACTGTAGTTTTAAATATATTCTCGCTACATATCATGTTTTTTATGTTAAAACTATGTAACTTTCAGACGATTGTACCACCTAAAGGCATTGCAAGATTCAGTGAAGATACTTTACTGCGGCATGCACAGTTTGTATGTGATCAAGTATTATCATTCGATGATTCTGCTGTCTCAGACGATGCCTTCCTTATTACAAGTCCCTGCATGCGAGCATTAGCAAATCTTGCAGGTGTTACATTAGGAAAACGAGCAGCACTTCGTAGAACACAACGTCGAGTACAGAAAGTTAAAAAACCTGCCTGGACAAAAGCAACCACTACACAATTAGTTAATGATATGTTCGAGAACATTTTTGCTGATCAGTTGATTAAACATGATGATAAAATAATGATGGTAGGTACTTGCGTCTACAAAAATATTACTTTTGAGTATGTATCTAAAGTAATGTAGGCTTTTGTTAATGAAAAATTATAGGGACCTAAACGACAAAGATGTGGTATATGCGAAAATTGTCAACAGCCAGATTGTGGTTTTTGTAATGCTTGTAAAGACATGATCAAGTTTGGAGGAAGTGGTAGGAGCAAGCAGGCTTGCATTAAAAGAAGATGTCCAAATATGGCCATTCAAGTATGAATTCATAGTTTACAAATTGTTTGATTTGTTGCATTCATTAAAATTACTTCCATCTATTTAGGAAGCAGATGACTCTGATCCAGACAATGAGGAGCTGTACGATACTTTGATAGATAATAAAAAAATTGAAGAAGAAAGCAGAAAAAAAGTTTTTAAAGAATTCAAAAGAGATATTATATGGGTGGGGAAGCAAATTGCTACTGATAATCATAGAACGTTTTACAAATCTGTTATAGTGGGCGAAGAAAGTATACAGTTAAATGATTATGTACTTGTTGAACCCAGAAATCCAACAATTCCGCTTCATGTTGCTAAAGTAATTTACATGTGGGAAAATAAAAATGGTGTAAAGCAATTCCATGCAAACTGGTTTCATAGAGGAAACGATACAATTCTGGGAGAAACATCAGATCCGATAGAATTATTTTTAAGCGATGATTGCGATGATGTACCGTTTACATCTATTAGATCAAAATGTACTGTTATTTTTAAAAAAATTCCAGAAAATTGGGCTGATTTAGGTGAGAATTTAATGTGGAAAATAAGATAACAATATTTCATAGTTCATATTGTACATATACATATTGTAGGTAATATGGATTTGAGTCTGGAAAATAACATAAAGGACATAGATGGCAAGACCTTTTTTTATCAAAAACGTTACACACCTGAAACGGCTAGATTTGAGGACCTTCCACTCGATTCAAGGTGTCTTCGTAAGGAGAGTATTCATCGCTTTTGTGCTTCTTGTGCCCGTTTAAGTGAATACGGACAATTTAACACGCCAAAGGTATTTAAGATAAAAATATAATTATTGTGTAACTTTTTTGTGATATAAAAACATCTTAAGGTCTATGAAAAAATAGAAGAAAAGAATAGCAAGGAAGTTATTTACGGCATAGTAAAATACAAAGGTGAAGAATATAGAGTTGGTACTGCAGTATTTCTGCAGCCTGGAACATTCAACTTTAAACATAAGATTATGTATCAAGATATTCCAAAAGTGAAAAAAGAAAATGTAGACGAGGATGTGTATCCCGAATTTTATAGAAAATCTTCTGATCATATAAAGGGTTCAAATTATGATGCCCCGGATCCTTTCTGCATAGGATACATAAACACGATTTATGCTACCACAAATGACACATTAGTTCCACCTTCTGATATTAATATTAAAGTAAATAAATTATATAGACCCGAAAATACTCATAAAGATTCTACATTAGTGGAACAAACTGACCTAAATATGGTTTACTGGAGCGACGAAGGTATATAACACTACTGCAATAAATTTTTCAAAAGTATTTTATATTTTAAAATATACATATTTTATAGTATGTACCGTCAAATTTACTGAAGTTCTTGATAAATGTTATCTTGCTTATTCTGAGAACTTAAATCAGTCTGTTGAAGAGTGGTCTGTATTGGGACCAGATCGATTTTATTTCAACGAAGCTTATAACGTACAAAAAAAAGAATTTGACGAACCACCTTATCATGCTATCAATATTGGCAAAACTAGTAAAGGTGAAGGTAACTTGAAACTTAAAGGTAAAAAAACCGAAGAAAATCAAAAGAAGCTATTTGTCAACAGACCTATCAAATATAAAGTTATAAACAAACTGAAAACATTGGATGTATTTGCTGGATGTGGCGGTATGTAACTTATCACATGTTTTTAAGTAACTTCAGAATCAAATAATTCTTAGATTTACAGGGCTATCGGAAGGTTTCCATCAGGCTGGTGTGGCTGAAAATCTTTGGGCTATTGAGAAGGAAGAACCAGCCGCTCATGCATACCGGTTAAATAACCCAAGTTCGACAGTGTTTATAGAAGACTGTAATGTATTATTGAAGAAAGTTATGGATGTCAGTGTAATGAATCATTTTAAGGTACCTTCTTCTGTTCCTGTTACATAACAGATTTAATGCATTTTTAGGGCGAAGTAACAGATGGTATTGGTCAAAAGCTTCCTCAAAAGGGTCAAGTAGAGTTATTATGTGGTGGTCCGCCTTGCCAAGGATTCAGCGGCATGAATCGTTTCAATTCACGGCAGTATTCCTTATTTAAAAGCTCCCTTGTTGTGTCTTATTTATCATACTGTGATTATTATAGGCCTAAGTTTTTTGTAATGGAAAATGTTAGAAATTTCGTATCTTTTAAAAAAAGTATGGTTTTAAAACTAACACTACGCTGTCTAGTTCGTATGGGCTACCAATGTACATTTGGTATTCTTCAAGCTGGAAATTATGGGGTACCTCAAACGAGACGGAGGTTTGTTTTGCAATCACACAATTATAGTTCTACTTTATAATTTTGTACGCTTCATTTTCTCATATTAAATAGAATGATCATTTTGGCTGCTGCACCTGGCCAGAAACTGCCAAATTATCCAGAACCAACGAATGTATTCAGCAAACGTGCATGCCAATTGAGTGTACTAGTCAATAACAAAAAAGTAAATAACATACATACATATATATTACGTATGTTAATAATACGTACATAATATAATGTATGAAATATGTAAATTATCAACTATTTCAGTATAGTTCTAATTGTACTTGGACAGAATCAGCACCATTTAGAACAATTAGTGTCAAGGATTCCATGTCTGATTTACCGGAAATAAAAAATGGATGGAACAAGGAGGAGATGTCTTACAGCAGTGAACCGATATCACACTTTCAAAGAAAAGTAATAAATCTTGAAGTACTAATCTTTAAATAAAAAATATCTAATCTCTGTTCTTTTAGATGAGAGGCAACCAATATCAACCTCTATTAAGAGATCATATATGTAAAGAAATGGCACCCCTTGTGGAGACCAGAATAACTCACATCCCAACTGCCAGTGGTTCAGATTGGCGTGATTTACCAAATGTTGCTGTAAGATTAAGCGACGGAACATATTCGAAAAAATTGTATGCAGAAACTGTATTTCATAAACATTTGTTTACGTACTTGAAACTACTTCTTATACATATTTTATCCTCATTTAAGGGAATACACTTATAATGACATGAAAGCCGGGAGAAGTTCGACAGGAGCATATCGTGGAGTATGCAGTTGTAGTACAGGAAAATCATGTGATCCTGTAGATAGACAATTTAACACCCTAATTCCATGGTGTCTTCCACACACAGGAAATCGTCATAATCATTGGGCTGGTTTATATGGCCGATTGGAATGGAATGGATTTTTTAGTACAACTATTACAAATCCTGAGCCTATGGGAAAACAGGTATTATATTAGTTAACAGAATATTAATTAGGAACTTATAAAAAAAAATAAACACGTTACGTTAGGGTCGTGTGTTGCATCCAGTACAAACTCGAGTGGTAAGTATACGCGAATGTGCAAGGTCTCAAGGATTTCCAGATACCTTCCGATTTTATGGGACTATACTTGATAAACATCGACAAATTGGAAATGCAGTTCCTCCTCCACTTGGAGCAGCCATAGGTCACGAGATAAGGAAGTGTGTAGAAGAGGAAAATATAATCACTGAGACACATGTAGACATGAAATTAGAACTTTATTCTGTGAAGTCTGGAATAGACGATAAAAATTTTAGCTAAAAATTTAAAAAGACTTTTTAATTTAAATATCACGAAAGGCAAGCTAATCTGTAATTTTGTTTTGTTAATCATTCCATTTGAAAAACGTTTTAATATATTTTAATATTTTATAAAAATATTAATTTAACCTTGTGTTATTTCTGAGATTTTGTTTTTGTGGCTTTCTCGGAGTTAGTTTTATTTGTAGCTTTCAAGATTTTATCTTTATCTATATGTTTCTGTGATGGTATTACCTGTTTGCTTATTATTCAAGTTAAATTAAAATATCAGTTTTAAATGTTTCAATAACAAGTAGGCGAATACACACATGTAAACAAATATTTTTCAAATAAAAGTTGGATGTTCTTAGAAATATTTGCTAATATTTGTTTTAATAATATTATATTCCAGTGTGTATTAATAAAGGACTGAGTGGCACTAAGAATCTGTAAGTAGTACTTTATTTAATCTTTCAGGTGGATAGCATCATTTTTTAACCTGATAAGGGAGATACAAGATTTTATTTAGAGTGAGAAGTTACTTCTTACAATACATATACAGTTTAAAATTGCAGTTTAAATTAAAACCGTTAAACCGTAAAACCGCAGTAAAAATTAAAACCGTTTAAATTAAAGAAGTACGTTTCACAAACAATTAGTAATAGCAAAGTAATATAATTTCAAAAATTGAAGACAAATCCTGAGATAATAAGGTTAAACTATCTTGCTGATTCGTTAAAATAAAATAAGTTTACTTTTAGCGGTAATTTTGAATATTACAAAAACTGAGGATTTACAAAACATTTCATTGCCTAGATTTTTTATAATTTTATGCATTCTTTTTAAAGTCGTGACCTGACTTTCACTTTCTGATACGCGGTCGAAACTGCGAATGTGACAGGTGTTATTATCGTGTGTATGTACATATACGTGTTAAAGCCTTTGTCTACGTTGTAATTATACAAAAAACACATTAAAGATAAACAATGGAATTTTTACAATCGGAACGCATATTCAATGAAAAATATAATAAAAAATTTGATGGTTACGTACAATATGGTACTGCCGGCTTCAGAACAAAGTAAGCATGTTATAACAATATAGAATATTATGTAAGAGTATTAATTCAATTTTTGTTATAAGTATATTAACATTTTGTACTAGGGCCAATGTTCTTGAACATGTTCTTTATAGAATGGGAATTCTAGCAGTATTAAGATCTAAAGTTAAAAATGGTAATACAACAGATTTTTACTGTTCATGTGCTTTATCTTTAATTTTAATTAAAGAAATTCCACCTTTAAATAGCTGCAATTGGTTTAATGATCACTGCAAGTCATAACATCGGATCAGACAATGGAGTGAAGCTTATAGATCCAGCTGGCGAGATGTTAGAAGCTTCTTGGGAACTCATTGCTACACATTTGGCAAATGTAGAAGATACAAAGTTAATTGCTACCATAGAACAGATTATCAAAGAGCAGAATGTTAATATATCTACAGAGGCAGTTGTTATAATTGGTAGAGACACCAGAGAAAGTAGTCCTGCATTATTCAATGCTGCTGTTATAGGAATTCAAGCCTTAAATGGAATAGTAAAAGACTTTGCAGTAGTTACAACTCCTCAGTTACATTACCTTGTTGTATGTACAAACACTGATAGCAATTATGGTAGTCCTACATTGCATGGTTATTATGAAAAACTATCACAATCATTTAAACATATAAGACAAAGTAAGATTAATAATGGACAGTATGTAGCAGAATTATCATTAGATGCTGCTAATGGTGTTGGTGCTATAGCTGCAAAAGAATTTCAAAAATATTTAGGAACAACGCTTACAATCAATTTATATAACGATGGAAATGGAGAATTAAATTCCATGGTATAATTTTTCGTATCAATAATGTGAAGCAATTAAAACGTATATCTATAAAAGAATCAAATTTTCTTGTAGTGTGGAGCTGACTACGTTAAGGTGAAACAAGTACCACCTACGAATTTTGTACTAAAGCCTAATGTCAGATGTGTATCTATAGATGGTGATGCAGACAGAGTAATTTATTTTTATGTGGACGAAAACAATAAATTTCATCTTTTGGATGGTGATAGAATAGCAGTGCTTGTTGCTGGATATTTCAAAGAACTCCTACAAGAATGCGGTTTAACGTTTCAATTTGGTTTGGTACAAACAGCCTATGCAAATGGTGGATCTACAAACTACATTTCAAACGTATTGGTATGTTGAAATAATTAGTATTGTTATTACTAGTTATCATCCATTTTTTTTACTTTTACAATTATATATTGCAGAAAATTCCAGTTGTATGTGCATTAACTGGTGTGAAACATCTGCTCAGTAAAGCATTAGAATTTGATATAGGTATATATTTTGAAGCAAATGGACATGGAACTGTAGTGTTTAAGGATACCGTTATTCAAACGCTTAAAGATACTATTACAAACTCAGAGTAAGTTTCACCCAAATGTTTTATGCTAGTAATAACATTTTCTATTACTTGCTTATTATATTCGTGTTTGGAAATTGTTACAGACTGTCCACCACTAAAAAAGCAGCTGCTTTAAGATTATTAAGCATAATTGACGTCATAAATCAAACAGTTGGCGATGCCTTTAGCGATATGTTATTAGTCGAAACAATTTTACATGCAAAAGGCTGGAGTATAATAGATTGGGAAAAACGTTACGACGATTTACCAAATAAACAATTATTAGTAAGAGTCAGCGATAAAAATCTTATAACTACAACTAATGCTGAAAGACAATGTGTAACACCTATAGGTATACAAGAAGAAATTGATAAAGTAGTATCAAAGTATAGGAAAGGTCGATCCTTTGTTAGGTATAATAAAATTTGCTTATATACTGAATAATTATTAATTATTTATTATGTCGCTAACGAAAAAATTGTTACACTATCAGACCATCAGGAACCGAAGATGTGGTACGAGTATATGCAGAATGTGAGGATCCAAATGATCTTAACAGAATGATTACAGAAGTAGCGTTGTTGGTCTATAGACGTGCAGGCGGAATTGGACCTGAACCTCAGCTTATATAAAAACAAATATTCCTTCAGTATTTTTAAATCTATCTAAAGCTATATAACATAAGTTAAACAAATGTATTGAAATACATGAAAGTATTTTAGTTTTACAAAGTGTACACGAGATTCCAAATGAATATAAAAATGAACATCTCTCTCCCTCAAGTGCTTATTTAAATTCAATTTTCTATAATAAATTTAACTTTTATTATATATTATATTTTTAATTAAAAAAACACTGGAAAAAATAAATAAAATTGTATATATGTAATTACATTAAAAAATTAGGTAAAAATGTATAAACGTAACATTTCTTTAATTATGTTTAATCACCTGTATTGTTTAAATTGTTTTTTTTAAAGACGCTGTCCTCTTTTTTTTGAACAAGCTTAAAATCTTCATTGCTGGAAATACTTTTATTGCTATATATGCAACAGTGATTATGAAAATTGTGTAAATCATGCATTTTTCGTTTCAAAAGTTCTTTCATAATATTGAAGTACATATAAATCGATGTAACATAAAATAAGTCAAAATTCAATTTTTTTGCTTTCGTGACTATTTCATATGATATTTTTTCATAATCACCAGCACAAATGACACTGAAAAGGGTTTCATGTTATTTGAAGGATGCCTGTGTTTTTATTAAAAATTTTAATCTAAAAAGCAGAAATTGCTTGTACAAAATGTTAATCCGGTACTTCTCAACTTTTTAAAAGGTTCCTTTTAATGTTTTAGATTTTATGAACATTTATGACTGAAAACAATGAAAACATAGAATATTATATTTTTTGTTTTAAAACGTAAATGCGACAGCAAAACTAAATAAATGAAAATATCTTTTTAACATTGTGACAATATATACAGGATATAAATGTGATGCAATATAATATCTCTGTAATTAACCCGCGAATCTATTTAAATATATATCTATATAATACTGCCGTATTCTTTGTAGGTTACATGTAAATGTAATACATGAACTTGAAAATTTACATAAAATTTGATGCACAATTTCTTCTTAAAATCTACGTGAAAGATAAATTTTACCACGTGTCAAAATGATTTTGCATTTGTCTTCCGTGTTCTTGCCAGACTTATTCATTTTTCAAGGGTTAAATTACATATGCAACTTCTGTTTACTGGAAATTATTTGGTATGAAGAGGAATGGGACAATTGTAGTATACTTTCATAAAATAATAACTCGAACTAGCTGCCGCAAAACCAAGAGAATAATAAAAAAAATAGAATAGAAAATGAAAATTGTATTTTTTATTTTGACAGGAATCAAGTGTTTAACACGATGTTAACATGATACAAATTTGATCAAATACTTGGTACTCTATACCACAGAACTCTCAACTGGTACATATTTCGTATCTTGTTGTTACAAATATTAAACTGTAAAATATTTAGCATTATATCTTGCGCATATTACATTTTATACATATGATTATATTATATTTATACAGGAAGTTTTGTAACTGACACTAGAACTGAAAAGATAACGATTATATATAAAAAAAGAAGTAGAAGCTATAGAAAAATCTTTTTATAATTAGTTTCGTTTTTAGAAAAAATTAACGCATTCCAGCCTAACATACACCTTATTAAAGTTATGTGGGGTAGTACTGCTGGTTGAGGTAAGGGGAACAGATCTTAGGAAACTACACGACTCCGTCTATAGTGAAATCATATATAAATATGAAATTAATTTATTATAGTTTTCAATGAGTAATATATTTCATACACATTTCTTTCTATACGAAAATGTTTCAATTTTTTTAAGAACCTTCACATATTATCTTTGTATCTTATCACATAAAAACTCTTCTATTTAAATAGAGGGTTTTTACATTGTTAGGAATAACAGTTTGTAACATTTTCGCTAGTGAGTAATTAATAATATGATGTAACAAATAATTTCTGCCATTGAAATAATGAATATTAATAATAAAGCTCAATAGAGTATCAATAGGAAATGTTGAAATAAAAAACATTATTCATTCTTACACTTTAATGGCTATAATTACAATCCTTTTTCTTCTTCTTCTGTCTTCTCTCACAGGTTATGTCCACCGACCTGAGTACAGGAAGGTATAAATAGGACTCATAAATCCAATTTGAGTTCATCTCACACAGTCCAGTAGTGTCCTCATCCCGCTTGTAATCTATTAAAAAAATTGTATTATTTGGTGCATAGTGTCCAAGAAAACGAACATATACAAATTGTGATAATATTTTAAATCAGGTGAAATTTGGTGACTCAACACATTGATTCATGTGAAAAATGTATTCGCAGAAATATAATTCAATCTAATTCCATCCTGTTGCTTGTGAAAAATTATAACAGTTTCAAAGGCACAACTATTGACTATCTACCAATACCGTTAGCGCCAGAAGATAATTTAGAATTTATTTCTTTATTTCAGTACATATAATATTGAATTAGCAATGAAAATTAAGGTACTTGATCGGTGATGTTACTGATGACCAACGTGGAATATACTTAAAATATGATATTATAGCAAAATATTGAATTGTATTATAGACTTCGTATGCTATAATATTAACACTGCAATTGTAAATCAGGAAAGTTGATATAACACAGTTGAATAACCCGTTACTTTACCACGTAAAAACTATAAAATTTATTCCGAGACTACAATTGAAATTGAAAATTCGAAAACGACGTTATTTGAAGAAAATTGAATTAAACTTGAAAAATATACTGGCCTAATTATATCAAGAGATGGAATTAGAATTGACGCGTATTAAATGCTAAAAGCAATCGCTATCGCAGCATCATCGCAACGGTACTTTCACAATCGACGATCATAACGTTTTCGGCATTTTTTACCGTGAATTTTTAGTGTTCGCAATGTATGACTGATATCTAGACACAACGTGTCTATTTATTTCTTCAGTTCATTTTTTTTTTTTTTGTTGCTTGAACGAGCAAATAGTAAAGGGCGCACGCGTTAAACATACCTTCTGTTTAAATTCAAAGCACCGCCAGCTTTGAGCGCAAACGCAATTTGTAGAACGTAATCCGCATATCGAAGCTTGCACTATTCACCAGAGTGTCGCGTCTACGGGCCACACGCCTAAGTTTCTTCAATAATCTGACGTTGATATGCCACCAGGATTCGAAGTGCGGTGCGCTTACGCGGGTTCGTCGCACGATTCAAGATTACGCTGTCTGAGTATAACACATGTAGATTCCATCAAACTTCAATCAATGTTCTGCATTTCATCTTGCTTTATGTGTCATTCAAATACGGCAACATTTTTACGTTTTTTTTTCTTTCCAAGATAAAGTATTCCTCAACATCTTGGTATTAAATAACTGAATATATTATACTAACAAATAAATGGAGTACAATTCCATTTTCCTTAAAACTATTTCTCTCCTAGCTTTTGAATTATTTGCCTTTAGTGCACACATTGTACAGCAAAATGCATGAACTATTTTTGAAGATACTAAATGGATCACTCATTCAAGATCGAAGGCGAAAAAGATTCTAATATTTCATTCAATATACCGTGGTGGATCAAATCACTCAAAAACTAGGAATAGTTATTTAAGAATCAAAGAGACTTAATTGCTACCATTCAAAGAAGTGCAAAGCAATTCTGTAATGCAGAACATCTTTAAAATAATGATTATGTGTACCACATTTGCACGCGCGCTGATTATTCTTAGTTGATTCGCTGGAAGACTGCAGAAGCTCGGATCTAATGACCTTGTCATTTCACCTGACCTTGCGTTTAAACGACTTCGATGATCCCCTTCCTTGTAGCGACTAATCAGCATCGCATATTTCAACGGAGAGAAGACTTAATAACAGTGTCTTGCTTGAAAAGCACAAATCAAAGTGCGACCAATGCAATCAATTTAATAGATTGGATCTATAGAAAAAGTTCTGTATACAAAGAAATCGCAGATAAGGTGTTCATGTAAAGTTTCAAGATATGTAGCCGAGAAAGTTAATGATGTATTCGTTTCAGTTTTATTTCTCATTCCGTCAAGGTACATTGATAACTTCAGCAAACACGTTTTGTTGCTTTATTAATGAACATTTAAAACATTATCCAAGTTCTTACGTGTAAAAAAAGATTATACAGCATGTTTTATTTTCTTTGCTTAGTAGCCTAAGTCACCATTGTTGTTGATCTAAATATTATAAACTTATAACGAAAAAATCATCTATACTAGAATGTGTGTAATTATCATGTGACTTAAGATAGATAAAAATTGATAATAATTCAACCCACACCGTATCAAGCTGGGTTGTGTACCACTACGAAAAAGAAAAAAAGAGAGAGAGAGAGAAAAAACATAGGAAATATCAGAGAAAGAATTACGAACACAAATCGCACAAAAGGAATACCCACTATCCTTGCTGGAAAAAGAAAATGAACGACACAGAAAACTCCTTGTATGATACCATGTTACAAATTCTTTATCTCAATTTCGATTTTCGATCATCTTCTTGCTCTTCGAAGGATCTTAGCTTGCGTTTCAATTATTGATTATGATACTCATTGATACTTCTCATTCTTACCGTACCTTAAGTTAGCATTTAAACATTAGATTCTATCGTGTATCTATCATTATACATAGTATCGTATGTAATGGTATGGACTCTGTATGTCGGACGCAGGGCAGTTCCTAGGTATTCGATTCCTTAAGCGAACGACCACCACTAAACAGGCATTTTTTTTAAGGGAGCCTTTCGCATACGCTTTAGTATTTGCTTTAGTACGCTTTTAGTACCTCGGTGGCATCGCGTCTGCCGGACCTGGGAAGCTAAAAGGTCAAAAAAATGAAAAATCGCACAATTAATTGCTCCTCGATCGCCGCAAGCGGCGCAACAAGCTGGAAAGTATAAGATGTAACACTGATACGCGCGAATTCGACCAGAAATTCTTTTTTTCTTTTTCGTCGACGATTTAATCCTGTCGCCTAAAGACATGAAGGAAACTTGATACCTTTTTATTATCTTTATCGCAACGCATGAATCACACATTTGCGGAATGACACAACTTCCAGACCTGAGTAAAGTACTCGATAGTATTGCAGTACTTATTCTGATAATGCTCATTGGACAAGTACTATGGGAGTAAGTATTGCATTACAATATAAAAACAAATGAAAATCTCTTCCCTTGAATCGATACTATAAACGATCTATTAATCAAAGTCAATGCAGTTTTAAAATTGAAGTATGAATTTTGTTGAATTATCATTTCAAGACTATCAGTTTCATAAAATTGAAACACAAAATGAGTCGTAAGTCATAAGATACTAATCTTGCCCACATCTGATAAGTTGTCACATAGTGAAATTCATTTTATCGCTGCATCGAAGCATCGTTCGCCATTGTCGCAAGAGCGTATAAAAGACGATTTTAATGGTCGTTAATGTTATTTCCGATCCACGATTCGCGTACTCGATCATTTTAATGAAAAATTTCACTATAAATATTGAGTGTTGTTCTCTTTAGATTGTTTTTAACGGACGCAACATCGCAACGCAATCATTGTAAGCAACCCGGGCTCTCCCTGCTATAGATAAATCTTGAAACAGAATACACGTATTACCAGCATGATTTTGTTTCAAGAGGAATAAAAAATATCGACCGCACGCACTTGGAAATATATGTATGCTGCTCAGCAGCGCAGTGTCGTAACGCCATTATGCTTCGTTTTCGATAAATCGCAACGGTCTTCAATCACGTAGACGCTCGATTCGCGGACTTTTACCGCAGAGTACATAAAAGAAGAGAGGTAGTATCTGATCAATGACTATCTTCCAACAAATATGAATATTTCCACAGCTATAACCCCCATGCGCAACTCTTAAATTCTTATTAACGTTTGAACTTTTCAAATTTATAATGAATGGAGTGGAACCCTTTAAATTGTTGCGTCTAATACCTACCATTAGCAGTCCATTTGCATTAAAATCACGCCCAAGTGAACTGAATTGAAAACTCCAGTGGTCAAAGGGGTTATGTTAAATTTTTGTGCAAATTAAGTTTTCTTAGCAAATGAAGGTGGTGTGTGTTCTTTCACTATGTCCAATCACAAAATAAAAAGAATAGGGAAGAGGATGAAGGACGTGTATTTAAGGACGTAATGAACGAAGAATAACCTTTAAACTCCGTTCACTACAAATTTAATACATTATTTGTAACATAATACCTTCATCCTTTGAAGCCTTCTATTCTCACAAGCTCACAAAGGACATGTTTCAGATTTTTACTTCATGCTTCTAACAATAGTCCACTCTATTTACAATATAAGTTTTAGGTTATTCATTGAACGAGTACGTATATAATTTATAGTATTCTCCAGATATACTAATAAAAACTAAAATTTCTCAACTGTGAATACTACCACCTCTGTTCTCTTTTACACTCAATATTAGAAAAGTCGCAGAACGATTACTTTTATTTTTTCGATGATAATAAATCAACTGTGTATCGTTGCATACACAAGAATACGCTTTTTATAATCAAAGAGCATACCCACGGTCGCGCTAAGTGTCACACCTTATACTTTTACAGAAAATATTCAGCCTATATCGATACGCATGAAACGTGAGCACACTGAGATAGAGCAGCGTTAAACCGAATAGAATACGTTGCGCAAAAAGAGCGTGGTCGCATAATTAATGAACGATCATTCGCAGAAATTAATTGTCGCTCTTCAACGCTGTGACATATCACTTTGGAAAACGCAGTCGTGTAAAGTGTAATATATTTAAAACAAAATACGAAGGGAAAAAACTTACCGTCCACCACCGCGCGGAGGACCATATGCATCTGGTCTGTCGTATCCCTCGGTATAACTATAGACAAAATTAAACAATCTTTTTATTTTATTTAAATAATAGCATTAAAAATGAATACACTTTTGAATAAAATAAGTAACACGATCTTTCTCTCGGTAAAAGTACGATACGTGGGTCACTTGAAAAGTTCTCGGAATGAGGTATAGATAACATTACTAGTTCTGAAATTCTTAGTTCGTCGGTGGATTTCATTTGTACTTATACAGTTGTTTGAACAAAAGTACTTTTATGTTGTGTGCTGCATTTCCTAACAATTGATCAAAAACAAATTCGAATGAAAATTTCTCAAGACTGCTTAGAATGTTGGTTCAAATGCATTAATGTTAAAGCGAATTATATTGAAAGATAAAGAAATTTTTAAAATAATATAAGTTGTCTTTGCACTCCACGCCCAAAACTTTTCAAATGACCCACATATGTATTAAATGGAATCAGTGCTAAAGTAACTTGTAAATAGAGATAAATGAGAAGTAACCACGGAAATGACGTCATCTGATACTTTGGGGGTATTCTACGCGAAATCGGACACTTTTTGGAGTAACATTTTAGATTTTGTTGACACTTGGATATGTTGTAATCTTTAGTGATATATAAACGTATCTCTATATATTTTATCTATATATATATCTCTATAAGTTTATAAATTGTTGATTCTACAGGTATTTGAAATATAGTGTCAACCTTTTTTCAATAAATCATAACTGTTGAACTAAGAAACTTATCAAAATGAGTTTTGTGGGTACTTACAGTGGAGACATAACAGTACCTAATCAAAATTATTTCAGTTAAAAAAAAATATATTTTAACCATTTATTTTGCAATTGTTTTAAAGAAATGCAATTTTACAATAGCGTGGTAGTATTGAAAAAGTTGAAAAAAAATTGAGAATACAGTCCTATTTGTCCGCCTTATGGACAAATTTTCAACAATATTTCAAAAATTGATTGAAATTAACGCTATGTCGAAGTACATCGGCTCGACCAGCCGAAGCGTACCGGCTAGCCTAGTACCGCACGACTTGGGCGATCGAGCCTGTGTAATTCAACGCAGTGTTAACTTCAATTAATTTTCATATAGCCAATTTTAAAATCTCCATATTTTTGAAAATTTGTGCATAGAGAGAATCAATAGGACTGCATTATCAATTTTTTTCAAATGTTTAAATAATATCCTGCGATTATAACATTGCATTTCTTTGAAACAATTGCAAAATAAATGGTTAAAAAATATATTTTTAACTGAAATATTTTTTTAAGTACTCTTGTCTCCACTATAAGCATCAAATTAAGTTCATTTTGATCGGTTTGTTAGTTCAACAGTTATGATTTAGTGAAAAAAGGTTGACACTATATTCCAAACAACTGTAGAATCAATAATTCTTAAAATTTTCAAAAATTCTTCGAGATACGTTTATATATCACTAAAGATTACAACATATCCAAGTGTCAACAAAATCCAAAATGTTACTCCACAAAATGTCCGGTTTCACGTGAAATGTCACTTTAGGACGAATGATTGTGACTCGCTAACAAAGAAATGTCGGTAACTCGAAAATTCATATTCTTTTTGCTACTTTTCGGTTCTTTGTGATTAAAACACAGCTTAAATGCCAATGTATTTTCCTATTTTCCTGTATATATTGAAAGCTATACTAGATATACAAAAGTTTTTAAATTAAAATTTAATGGTTTTTTATGCTATATGAAACTACAATGAAATTCTTAAAAATTTATTTATTAATTAATAAATGATTAACAATTTCATTGCACAATTTTATAGAATAGAAGAAGCTATAAAATGTTTTGTATCTGATATAGTTTTCAAAATATATAGGAAAACACATTAACATTTAAAACGTGTTTCCATATTAAAGAACCAAAAAGTAGCAAAGGAAAAAAATTTGAAGTCCCCTACAAACCTACAGAATTTAAAAAAAAACGAATTTTTCGGATTACCGAACTTCCTTTGTAAAAGGGTGGGATACCACTACATAAATAAAAATAGATCTGAACGTACCCTCCACCAACAGGCGGATATCCACCACTGGGGACGGCACTGCCAGGTCTTCTACTAAACATATCTGCTTGTGGTCCAGGACCAGTGCTGTAACTAGGTGCCCCAGTGCTGTAGCTAGGTCCAGTACTCATTGGCCTGTTAAATGGAGGCATATCATTAACAGGGGGACCGTCCCTCCTGTCAAAGGCCATCGAAACTCCCTGACTTACACCCCCGGACCCACCCATCATATCCCCAGGCCCGCCCGGATAACCCCTGTCATACACAATCGGAATATGTGAACTTATTTTCACTCTATCCTGGGTAATGCATGAAAGTTTTTGCTCAAGTATAATCTATTTAGTACACATTTTACTTGTACAGATTAAATTAGTAAAAGCATCACAGGTTAGAATAAAAGTGAAGTTTCAATTCATAATTGTTGTTTCGAGTTTTTAAAATGTTGAAAAAGTTTGTTCTTTTACGATACGTATTCCTTTTTGTTGAGAAAACTTTCCGGAATTTTACTAATGAAAAAAGTAGAAAATAACGTCTTTTCTGTTTTAATACATATTGGCTTGAACTTTGACTACCTAAATTAATATTTCAAAAAATGCAACCAAGTGTAGTCTATAATATATGTATATTATTTTAACTCGGTATTTCTTTTATATCGGTATTTAAATTATAAAATTAAATCTAAAGCTGGAAAATAAATAATTTAGATTACTTTACCAGTGGCTTTCATCATATCCTACATCTGTGTACCCTGTTCCATATCCAGTAGTGGCTACAGCGCCACCACCGTTTCTCATAGGTCCAGTTGCAGTTCGATCATAATCATTTCTAGCTGTATAATCAACCGTACGGTTTGCACCGAAATTATCAGTACGTCCGTAATCCATAGGACCAGGTGCACCGCGATTAAAATCTCCAGTCATTCCACCTCCGACTACTGTAAATAAAATGCTTCGTATTAGATGAATTATGTATTTTTATATCTGTTGATGATTGAAAAAGTTCTCGAGTAAAAGCACTTTTACTCAAGCAACTGTACACAAAGTACCGTGTAGTATAGCCACTCAAAACGTTACGTTATCCATATGACAAATAAAAATCTTTGGCAAACTAAAACTTTCAGAACTACTAAATGTCATTCATTCATACTTCATTCCGAGAACTTTTTAAATATATTTAATTCTGTATTTGCATGGACCTTTTTTACTCGATTCATTTTGATCGAACGCGATCGGATAAATTCAACTTTTCAAAAACCTTCACTCAATTTTAATTCCAACAAAAATATTGCTTATATTTCTCGGAAATTGCCCTTAATTAAAAAATTCTTAATTGGTTTATCGTATTACATTTACTGGCTTCTTATGATTTGAAAACAATCCTCAATTTTTTCATATGCACGCATTTTGTCATTACGTATGTTAAAAAAGCAATGGGTTGAGTTAAGCAGGGAGTGGATTTACTCAGAAGAGAAGGAGAGGAAATGAAAGAGAAACTTAGAAGAAGAGACTTAGAGATACAGCAACAGGAACAGGATAAACAATTATAGATACAAATTCATTAGAACAGTAGGATTACCGAAATATGTAAGTAAGTAAGTAAGAAAGGAAAGGGTGAGAGCCAGCAGTTAATAGCTCAGGGAAGGTATAGAAGTTCAAGAAGGTGGAATAGATATTAGGAGAAAGAAGAAAGAAATTGTAACTTATGCGAGGACAGATAAGGAACGCTAGAACATTTAGTGAGAGATTGTGAAACAATAGAAAGAGGGGTTTGAATAGAAGACGTGGTGAGTGGAAGAAAATACGTGAGGATAACAAAATGGCTTAGGGATTTGAAATGGAGAAGGAGGAAGGAAAGGAACAAATGTGCAATAAGGCAATAAGAAATAAATAATAATAAATAAGTCAAGATTTAAGACAGAAGAAGAATGAAAGAGGAGAATTAATGAGAAGAATGCATGGGTTAAGTCAACAATGCAAGGTTAGGTTATGTTGTAAACCCAAGTCGAAATTTCTTGGCTGTGAGACTGAAATAAAGAATATATTTATCTATCTTTGCACGTGTTTTTTTTTATTACGCGGATTTTTCGAGAACATATCTACCGTGTGAAAACAAAATTTAGTGGATACCAAAAGCCAAATTAGAGACACCTACCACAAGGATTCCCATAATCGGTTCTTGCTCCAAAGTCTGCGGCACGGCTATAGTCTGCTGTTCGACCGTAATCGGCTGTGGCTGTTGGTCCATATCCTCCGACGGCTCCAGTCGCTGGTCCATATCCTCCTCCCATTCCAGGTGCTGTAGATGTGTAACCCATTGCCGCGCTTCCCACGTTTTGCCCATATGCTCCACGATCGGTGTATCCAGTACCAAAGTCTGCTCCACGTCCACTAAAGTCTCCAGCGCCACGATTGTAATCGGTGTACCCCGTTGCGACGCCACCTGCAGCAGATCCATCGTAACCAACGAGTTGGAATATTTTCTCATTGTTACCGTTTTCAAATTATTTAAATTTTCAGAATACGAGCATATGATAAAGCACAATCATATTATCAGCAATGTGAAAATAGTTCAGTTGAAATTAATATTAAAAAAAAAAAGGCATATGTACTGACCTCTTCTATCATTGTATGGTCCCGGACGAGCGTCTCTACCACCGTCTCGTCCTCCTCTACCACCTCTCATTGGTCCAGTTCTTCTATCTCCATCCCTGCGTCCTCCTCCTCCACTGCGTGACTTGCCGGTCGACTGTTCCACATTGATCGTCGCCCCTTTGAAGTTGGAATTGTGAAGAGCTTTGATCGCTGCAGCTGCGTCTTCCTCTCGTGCCATGTGGACAAACCCATACCGATTCATGACATCGCATTCCGTTACCTCGCCAAAACGTAAAAATAATTGTCGCAACTCATCGTTGCGACAATTCTCTGGTAACCGACCCACAAATATTTTTGTTTTCCTCTGGAAAATTTAAATATGTCGTTAGTCGCGGTTCTTTAGCATATCCATGTATGTAATTGTAATACATATAATTATAAATCAATCTATAGAAAGGAAAGAAAACAATTTTGTATTTGCTTTGTACCTCTAAAATCGACCATACCTTTGTTCCTCAAAAGTATGGTGTCTGTTTGAGACTCATTTACTCTTGCTCAAATTATATAAAAGAATTACAGAAATCACACAACAATGATAATGTAATGTTATTGAGCTTGTTAATTTAAAAATTACTTTAGTCTTCTAAAATATATAAATAAAATTAAGAATAATACATTACGTACCTACAGTGTTTATACTTTGTTTCAAATACAAAAAATGTAGTATACAGTGCACAAATAATGAAATTATTAAACGATTCAAGATAAGTAATATAATTTTCTATTAGCATTGTTCTTACCGGTTGATTAGATGAAACCATTTTCTGAAAACAGAAAAAATGTTATTATTAATCATTACTTTATAGCTGCTGTGATTGTGTTAGTAACCCGGGAGTAGGCACACATTGGTCTTTTCGACTGACGATTTTATGTTTTGAAATGTGATCCAACACCTTCCAGTGTTGCTGCTTTCCGTGAAGCTATTCTCATTTAAGGCATGATCCCACAAGTTGTAAGAGACAATGTTGGTTTTCTCAACCGTAGAGCATCTACTCCCAAGTTAAATAATTTTAAATTTAAATCTAAAGTTTTCATGTAATTCTCACTTTTATTACATATACAAGATAATAATCCTTTGCCTTACGATTTTTTGCAAATACTTTCATCAGTGCTACCTTACTGTTAATAATTTATTAGAAGACAGAATTCTACATTGAACATATGTGTACATTTACTTTAAAAATTACACATGGATCCCAGTAAAATAATATTTTGCTTCAATTTTTGCAATATGCATAATTTTTATGCATATTCACTTTTGCCTGAAATTTTTACCACGAATTTGACTTGATATTGTAAGGCAAAGAGTTAACAACAAGATTTATATTTTAAACACCTACATTTGTAGCATATTTTAACAAGTATAATTATAAATGTTTGGGGTAAAACCAATATGATAATAAAAAAAGATAAAAAATATTTAATTTTTGGCTTATAACATATGCTACGACAATTTAAATTAATATTCTTTTATTATTTTATTTATAATTTAGTGTTAATTATATTTGAGCTTTGATCAAATTTACAAAGCTGATGGGATGCCTTCTATTCTATAAAATGATTATAAGTACTTGTAAAGTACACCTAAAGGCGAAGCATTTATTAAATAAAAGTTGTTTAAAAAATTTTATTAAACGCCTTGTTAATTTAAATCGTCAAAATTGAATGCTTTTTCTTAACAAAATATTTTTTTCTAACTTTATTCTCAATTTTTAGAAAATAATAAATTTTATAAACGTATTAGAAATATAAAATAATATTTTAAGTAAATCCAAAAAAAATCTTGAGTACTCATTAAATATGGATACCTATGGAAAAAGGTGTTACATATAAGTGTAATATGCACTTTCTTTAAATTTCCTGAAATGGAGAAACTACATTTCAAGAACATCAATTAGTAAACCTTCACACAATGGCTAATTGAAGTTCACTGCAAGAACAGGTGTCTTGTACAGTAAGCAAACCAATAAATATACCATTCATTTCAGGAAATTTGAAAGGCTAATATTCTTTAAAAATAATTCCGAAAAGTTCAGAACTTTACGACAAAAATAAATTGATAAAATAAATTATTTGAAAACCTGTTGGGAGTCCATGTTCCGGGAAACGTAGAAGACGCTTGTATATTTTTCAAGGCCACGAAAGTTATCAAATTTTCAATCAATCAAATAAAAAAACAATTTCCTTTTATTCAAGTAAATACAGTAATTATTATTGCAAGACTCTGAGCAATTAGAAAAGCTAAATTTCGAAAGAACGATACCGTGCGTAGAGTATAAACGCAAAAGATAAGTCTAAAAACAACCGGCCCTTGGCGTGCCCTAGTAACTGATGATACGCGAGTCACTTCGTAATACGAACTCGCTCGAACTTCCTCCGAGGCATTTTTCACTAGCAAATATGTTACTATGAAATTATAGTGATATGTTACTTACATGTGGTTGCGACCAGTTGCGACCTTTTTTGGCGAAATGAAATTAAAAATAGAAAGGGAAGAAACTTTTGTGACTCTAATAGTGAAACGAGGTACGAAATGGCGATAGTAACTTCCACCTTGAATACTTTTGACGGAAAACGATAAGGTTTATGCTAGATGTTACCACTTTTAACTCTGTAACGAGAAAGTCACTAGATAATTTATTTTATACACACGTTTGCACAATATTTATATGCGTTGCGTACAGACCCTAAATCCGCGCCTATTTCAAATTAAACACATGAGTTTTTGTAAATTCCTTTGAATAGTTTTGTTTTTCTGTAAATAGTTTTTTCATAGTTATTATGTTTAAATATTCCAACTTAAACGACTATTCTTTAGCATACAAGATTATAAAATAAGAATTAATAATGAATGTATGCATAAAATATTATTATTGTTATTACTATAAACGGTTAATATTGTTATACTATTATTAATGTTTATATAATAATAATCTATATAATTTTGTTGTTCTTATGTGCATGTAATTGTCTCGCTTTATAAACAAACTTATATTGTTAATTCTAATTATGTACAACTCATCTATATAAACACTTGAACATTCAATTTGCTGAACACTAAATAGAATGATAACACGTATTTCACATCAAAAAGCATTTTATAATTTAAATAAATGTTATAAATAATTACTATTCAGTAATTAAATGAAATATGATTTTATAGAAAATTTCTTCTTAAATAAATTGATGCAAATATTTTAAATCTTTTTATAGAATTTGAATATGTAAAAAAGTATTTAAAAATTTAATGCTTATCTTTTATTATATGCACAGTAATTAATTAATTCTGTATAAGATTTTATGCGAGTATGTATGTATTACTGCAAATTTTAATAAAGAAGTTGAATAATTACGGACAATTTAGTCTTTAAGAGGTTAGAAAAGGCTCTGTGAAAGTTTTAACTAAAACTATATCGTAGGTGATATTAATGTTATTATATATATGTAATAAGAAAACATTTAAAAATTTCTCTTGAAATCAAGAATTTCTTGAAATAAACGTTGAAGTAGTAGTATTTAAATGAAAAGATGAATCGTGCCCTATTAGTGCGACCATACAGTTCCAGTACTTCCAGTTCGATTAAAAAGAGTGCAAAATTAATTAGAAATGAATTTTTGGATTACTTTAAAGGAAGTTTGGGACATACTTTTGTTCGATCAAGTCCTGTTACACCACTTAATGACCAAACAATTGCATTTGTTAATGCTGGAATGAATCAAGTATACTTGGATTTTGTAAAAAAAATTTAATTAACAAGTCTGCATCATAATATTTACTTATATTTATTTGTCTTTTAGTTTAAGGGAGTTTTTTTGAATTATCATGATCCACCTGCAACGAAAGTTACAAATTCTCAGAAGTGTATTAGAATTAGTGGGAAGCATAATGATCTTGATGTAGTTGGAAATGATACTTATCATCATACATTCTTTGAAATGCTAGGAAATTGGTCTTTTGGAGATTATTTTAAGGTATTTACTCTTCTCTGAGACTTTTAAGACCAAAAAAAAATAAATATAAATTCAAATTTATAGAAAGAGGCTTGTCTTTATGCTTGGGATCTATTAACTAAGCATTATGGTTTAAAAAAAGATCTTTTATATATAACATACTTTGGTGGAAATGAACAGCTAGGATTAGAACCAGATTTAGAATGCAAAGATATCTGGTTAAGTATTGGTGTTGCAAAAGATAAAGTTTTGCCTTTTAATATGAAAGATAATTTTTGGGAAATGGGTGTTAATGGACCATGTGGACCTTGCACAGAGATACACATAGATCATAGAAGACGAGGGTCAAATCAATCCATGCGAGTTAATAAAGGCTACGCAGATCTGACAGAATTGTGGAACATAGTTTTTATACAATATGAACGGTATGTAATAAGTAATTGTCATATAGATAAAAATATGTTTGATGAAGCAATGAAAATTAATTGACATTATTCTCTGTTTTATATTAGACTAGCAAATGGTACCATAGTACCTTTACCAAAATATCATGTGGATACTGGTATGGGACTTGAAAGATTAGTAGCACTATTGCAGGAGAAAACTTCGAACTATGACACTGATCTTTTCCAACCACTCTTCAAAGCTATCCAGAAATATACAAAAGCACCAGAATATAAAGGAGAATTTTTTAATGATGAGTATAATCTTGATAGTGCATATAGGATACTAGCAGATCATAGTAGGATGATTACTGTGGCTCTAGCAGATGGAGCAGTACTAGAGAAAAAGTATGTAGTTTTAGTTATTTAGTATAATTACTGTTATAAGTTATTAATAGAAATAAAATTTTCAGTAATAAATTAAGAAAAATAATAAGAAAAGCAATTGATGTAGGTGAGAGAGTATTTAAGAAAGAAAATATACTATTAGAACTTTCATATGCTGTAGCAGATAATTTGGGCGATGTTTATCCAGAATTGCAAACAAATCTTAAAAAGGTAAATATAATACATGCAAAAAATTTTATAAAGTATTATACAGTATAATCATGTATAGGTGCAAAAAATAATAGAATTTGAAAAAGAGCTATTTAAAAGATTGAGAGTGACTTCTGGTAAAGAATGGAATAAAATTGTCGAAATTAGGCCAGAATTAGCATCAGTTACTGATTGGACAGCTCCTGGTTTATTAAGTGGCTATAAATACTTACAAAATACACTTAAAAACTTGTAAGTATTGAACAAATTAAAAAAAAAACAATTTCATTAATTGTTTCTGTTAATTTTACAGAATAACAACTAAAACATTACCAGGAAATGTTGCTTTCAAATTATATGATACATATGGTTTAAGTGAAGAAACTATAAATGAACTTGCAGAAATTGAATCCTTAAATTTAGATACAGAAGCTTTCCAAAATGAATTACAAAATATTAAATATCAATCGAAAATTGGTCTAAATAGGAAATGTCAAATGCATATAAAAGGATCAATAGATTTACTAGAAAAAAGTCATATACCAAAAACTGATGACACACTTAAATATGAATATGTTTTTGTTGAAAATGATTATCGGTTTCCTACAATTGAGAGTAAAGTCGTTGGACTGATTATTAATGGTAACAGTTGCCACTGAAATTAAATGATTACGACAAATATCGGAGAGTCAAATATTTAATTTATTGCAGGCAACTTAATGTTAAACAATAAGAATGGAATTACAAATGAAAATACAAAATTGGAAGAAAGAGACGAAATTGGAGTTATATTAGATAGAACATTATGTTATTCATTAGAAGGTGGTCAAATATCAGACTGTGGAACTATTTATATGAAAGATTTGATTCTCCATATAAATAATGTGGTAAAAATGAATAATTATGTTATACACATTTGCAATGTCAATTTAAAGTAAGTATTCCATTTAATTTTTATAATAATCTTATAAAATGTAATAATAAGATATGAAGTACATAAATATTTCATTCTTTCATTTAGAGATTTGGATCAAAAACTAAAAATCGGTGATAATTGTATGGTTTCCATTGATTCTAATCACAGAAAAGGATTAATGCAACATCACACTGCTGCACATTTATTAAGTGCATCTTTGAGACAAACTATACAAGCAATTTATCCACGTGATTCTCTTATTTTTCCTCATACCTTGAAACTTCAATGTACCTCCTTTGGAGAAAAACTCTCTCTAGAAAAACTGAAAAAAATTGAAAAATCTATAAATAATGTTATACAAACTAATGCTCCTGTTAAAATAAAAGTACTAAATTCCTCCGAATTATTAGCAGAGGACTTTGTGACAGTAATACCAGGAGAAATTTACCCATATACAGGTATTCGAATTGTGGAAATTGACACTTGTACCTTAAAATCAAAGTGAGTGTTTCTGAAGTCATAAATATTTAAAGCAAGAATCATTTTTTCCTATACATTCAGTTCTGTTTGTAATAACAATTGATATTACAAATTTTGATTAGGGAAGCATGTTGCGGTACACATGTACATAGAACTGGAGTATTGGAACACTTCTGTTTTCTAAGTTACTCCTCGAAAGGAGCAGCAAATTTTACTGTTAACGGAGCTGTTGGATCATTTGCTAAATCTGCTAAAATCGCAGGTGAAAATATCCAGAGGAAAATTTTGAATTTAGACCACAAATTGACAAATGACCAAATTGGATATGAAGCATTTGAATTAATTTACAAAGAAATAAAAAATGAGCTGAAAGATAATACTAAAAAAACACCAATACCCTATATTGTTAGAGAAGAATGTTTAAAGCAACTAGAAGATTTAAATAAAAATACTTGGATACAAACAAAAGAAGCAGAAAAGTAGGTATTGTAGTTATTCATTGTACAACAGTGCTTAGAATCCAGTTGATTATACATATAATTCTTTAAGGTCTGCTATAAATTTGGAAGTCAAAGGTACCAATTCAACAAGTTCTTTTATTGTTCATTGCTTGTATAAAAATCCCAAGTGTTTGTCACTCCAAGAAATTATATCTATTTATTTGAATACTCCAACATTAATTATTTTATACCATAACGAAACGATAAGAGCACGGTGTTTTGTGCCTCAGGTATAACAAAAGTGAATTCATAAATATTGAATTTGAACATAACAAAGTTTGTTTTTTATATATTATGTGATAATTATCTATTATAGGAAATTGCGAGCGATACGTTCAACGCACAAACGTGGATGAAAGTAGTTCTTGAAATTTTCAAAGCAGAATATGGTCCAATCAGAGGTTTTAATGCATTCTTAGTGGCTAATATGAAATCAATAACTGTTTCACAAATCTCATCAGAGAATCTAATACCAAAAGCAATTAATGCAGCTAAAGACTTTGCATCTAGAAGTATACAAAATATGTAAATACATTTATTAATAAGTTATAAAAATAAATTATAACAAAACATTTTCTGATAATTATTATATGCCCACTTATTTATTAAAGATACAAAATAATACCTATCTCAATTCTCTACTACTTTTTATTCTCTATGTTATTTTTATAAAATAGTCTAAGGGCATTCCATTGTGGTGTATGCAGTAGTATGTGAGACCTTTTCTTCTTCATGTAATCTACTGCTTCCTCAGGAGTCCATTGATTTTTCTATAAGAAACATGAAACTTTAATTTATATTTCTTTTAAGCATAATATTTAAAATTATTCCATGTTCTAACCATCATCAAGTAACAGCCTACTAATGTTGCACTTCGTGTTCTTCCTGCTTTACAATGGACATATACACTTCCAGCATGAACATTGTTGTCAGATTTATTTAACTCAGTTGACACATCACGAAACTTAGTAATAAAGTTTACACCACACAGTAACTTTTCTTGCGAAGGTGATTGAAAAATATCTGTTGTTGATAATTGTAAAAATTTCACGTTATATCTCTGCCATTCCTAAAAAATTATACACCATGTATAATACTATGAATTTTTATTTTTTCTGGAAAATAAAAATATGTTTTACTCAATACCTTATACTGAATGTTATTTTCAATAAACAATAAATACCTTTTCAGTATTAGAAAGTAATCGTAATTCGTAATTCTCATTCATCGAAATAACACCCTTGATGTTTTCTTCAGATATTAACTGAAATTTTTAACAATTTTTTGTTTGGTAGTTAATACTTTATTGCACGTACGGAGATGTATTTTTGTTAGGAATATTTTTTACTACGCTATTATTAATATACATATATAAATTAAAAAGATCTCATAATTAATTTATGATGTTTAATTACACACCTGTTTGGTCATTCCTCGAAATGGTAAAGCGCCTAATATGACTGTTTCGTCAATTCTATCGTACCAGCTTCTTGACGATATTTTTTCCATTAATACATTATAAAATAGTGTTGGATAAAACGACATCCTTGCGAACATCTTCTCTAAATTTGCGATATATTAATACGTATTATCAATTTTGTTAACATTAAAAGGAATTCACTTATACAGTTATGCTGATAGATGAATTTAATAACACCTCAATTATCATTATTACACTACCATTTTATTTATTTAGGCACAAAATTTCATGTCCTTCATTTCACAAACTACATGAAGAAATATATTGGCCTACTATTGGTGAAAGTAGTAATGCTAAGTAAAAGTAACAGGACTTGTTTCATATGGAAGTTGGGGGACCATTCTACCATGACAGGAATTTACAACGCCCGATTTGATTAAAGAACAATAATTTTAATGTTATAAGTAGTTGTCAATTTATACCTTCATATTTATATAATATTTAATAAAATTCTCACAGTTTACTACTTCTTCAAGTTAAAATATGTATATAGTATAATTAATAATGGGAATTTTGTTTAAAAGTATTAGGTAATATACAATTTATTTTAATACTAATTTAATTTTTGTATGATTATTTCTATACAAATACAATAATATATTACAGAAGTGTAGTTACATATACATAATTATAGAATATCAAACTATTAAAATATGTTTACGTTTATATACAATCTTTTGATTCTGCTAATAAATCTGCATCCAAACAGTAGTTACCTAACTCTCCTTTCCTAAATAAATTAACAAAATAATCTGCTGCAAATCTAAAATTTGGTTTTACAATAGGACTTCCACTAAAACTTTTGATTTTCAAAGTTTTTTTCTGTTTTGCTGCAATAAATGTCAAAATATATAATATATCATCACGAGGCTCTGCTAATTCTAATTTGTTTACATATTCAAATCGTTCCTGTTTATTCAACCAAAATAATAAATAATCTGCAAGAATCTCTGGTCCTACTAAGTGGTCTTGCATACAACCAGCTAATGCTAACTTTAAACCACAGTGTACGTTATTTATTTTAGGAGCTAAAATCCCTGGTGTGTCTAAGACAAAAATGTCTGGATTTTCTAATACTTTTACAGGTGTTGATACGGACTTCGTAATACCAGCAACTCCACCTACTTGTACTGCTTTAGATTTGTGAAGGTTACTACTTCGTAGACGATTAATAAGTGAAGATTTTCCTACATTGGGGACACCAATAATCATTATCTTAAAAGACCTTTCTTCTGCTCTATTGTAGCGATTTGATTCTTTAATTAATCTTTGTGCTAAAGGTAGTAGTTCTTTAACTCCTTTGCACTGTTGGTCCTTAAAATTAGTAAATAATACATTTGATAGTCCTTCATTGTTTAATCTGGTCATTATACATTTCTTAAACCTCATATCAGCTATATCCATTTTATTTAATACAAAAATATGTGGTTTTAAACCAGTTAAAGTGTTACTAAAATCTGCATAGTGCCCAGAAATTGGAACTCTTGCATCATGGACTTCAATTATACAATCTACATTTTTTAATTCCTTCTGCATTTTCTTTATTCCCCTGTTCATATGTCCAGGAAACCATCTTAAAATATCTTTTTCCACTACTGGAAAAGTATTACGAAATGTTGGAATAACATTACCTCCTGTGTTCGTCATTTTCAAGCGTTTTATAACCTGTACTGACATCGTTCTGTTGATATACTTTCTGTAATAATATTTCTCATATGAATTATTTCAAATTACTCATCGAATATATATATATTACGTTTCAATTCCTTAAAAGTTCCATTTATCACTTAAATTATACCTGCTTCACCTGCCTGAAAGAATTGTTTAAAGATTTTCCTCAAATTCAATTTTTTGTGTTACCGATCGTTACCGATATACATATATATTCTGCATTACAACTGAATAGTAACGAAATTAGAACAGATAGTAATTACGAAAAGTAGACAAAATATTGCATTTTTAAACTGTTAAGATATAGTAAACATTTTCTTAAAGGTATAATATCCATATTATATGATTTCAAGAGATTTACCTGGATTTACCCAAATGATAAGCTATAAACAATATTTGCTTGTTTTATAATAGAACCTTGTGACATAAACACATGAGTATTTTCTTAACGAAATTGAGTTTTTAATAACTTCTATTTTCTTAACCGATACATAGGAAAGTTGCAGTTACATATATTTTATAAATCGATTCTTTTTAAATTGAATCGCGGCTATTTTCAGATAATCTCACTTAATTAATAGTTTAATTCGTAATAGATTGTATATAGTATTAATTATGGCCATAATAAAATGGACAATATATAAGAAAAAAGTAAAATTAATCAAATAAAAATTTAATGTAATATGAAGATTACAAAGGAATAGTAATTTATAAGAACATTTCGAAGTAACCCTTTATAAAAAAAGCTTATAAGCTTTTTTAGCATTTTTCTGTGATTTGAAATGAAACTTACGCAATATTATTTTATTAGGGACTATTACTTGCTGAAATGACTAAATTCTTATATTTTTAATAATAATGATAACTTTTAATAATCTAAAACGTTACGAAAACTCGATTAGGAGTTTAACTTTCTCTAGATATTAAAACAAATTGTTCAAAAAGTAATAGGTGATAGCTATGGATGAGAAAACATATAAAAAATATAAACAAAGGATTCGTGAAGCTGTAGCTGCTGTTGATAATAGGCCTCCAAGACTTGATGTATCCTATTATTATAAAAAGCGTAATTTAACTATTGACGCAAATCGAATAAGAGAAATAGATAGAGAAAATATGGATTTGTTGAAAAGAATAAGTATAATTTCTCGTACAGGTGTAAGTATGAAATATGTTTTTTACTAGTAAAGACAAAAACAAGGATTTTGTATTACTTCTTTGTACTTTGAATGTTGTGAATCCGATTGAATATTTTAAATTAAATTTTCTTGCATACGTCTGAAAAATGGAAAAACGAACTAAGGAATAACTGTCTTTTAAGATCATATTTTTTCAATAAAATTAATAACATAATTTTATGTACCAAAAATAATAATCATATCATTATAATTGGTATAAACCATCATGATCAGGGAAAAGTTGATTGTTGGATGACAAGTATTAAGTATAAAACGAATCTTGAAGACCAAGAACCAATAAACAGACACATTATGAAAAAGAATAAAAATTTATTAAAAAGAATTCGCGAAGCTAGCAGTAACTATCCTACTGGAGAATTTATAAAAAATTGGAAAGAAATGAATAAGAAAGTGATGCACACCAGAAGGCAAATTATCTATTTTTAATATTTCAAAGTTATGTTTATTCATTACTTAAAGGATGTCCTTTATTCAGATTCATTCAAGATTTTCAGGCCCAAATTGCAGTGTCTCATGCAAACGAAGATCATTGTATGGTCACAGATTTATCATTAATGAAAGATCTAAGTCCATCAATTCGAACCAGATGTTTCTTTGAAATTGAAATCCAAAATGATAGACAAAAATTAGGAAGCATACAATTTGAGCTCTATGATGATATTGTTCCACAAACATGTGCAAATTTCGCTGAGCTATGTCGTGGAACAGGACAAGGATTATCATATAAGTAAATTATTAATTATAATGAATTAATAAAGGGGATTGATTATATCTGAAAAGTAAAAAGTTATTAAGACAAAGACAATATTTATTTGTTTAATAGAAACACACCATTCCATCGTATAGTTTCGGGTTATTGGTGTAAAGGTGGTGATGTAACAAAATTCGATGGAAGCGGTGGAGCTTCCGTTTTTGATAATCCATTCGAAAATGAAAATTTTAATTTACGACATGCGGGCCCTGGAATTTTATCTATGTATAACGACAAGGATAATAGAAACGATTCCAAATTTAATCTTACATTTAGACGCTTAGAAACAATGGATGGAAAATTTGTTGTCTTTGGGAAAGTTGTTTCTGGCCTTTCAAATATTTACAAAGTAGTTACCTTCCAGTACTTTTGTAAACACATTAACATAGCTTTCCTTTTGCCATAATAATTGTTATTTTTAGATCGAAGAATTTGGTACAAAGACAGGAAAACCCATAAAAACAGTAATTATATCTAATTGCGGTATTATATCAAGGAAACATGAGTATCATTCTTCGAAAGACTACAAATAAAAAAAATTTCAGTACATATGAATTATTTAAATACTATATTATATAACATTGCAATTGTATAATATTTGTATTATAATAACATTACATTTTATACAATACATGAAAGTACACCTTATTAAAAAAATATACATATATTGTTATGTTCTATATCATGTAACAATTACAATATTAAATTTAATAATGATATACATAATGCAATCGTGTAATTCCTATTGTACAAGCATATTAATGGTATAATTAGTAGACATTTTTAAAAATGTAAATATTTTATTGTACTTTATGATATTTATCTATAAAAACACGCTACAAAAAATACTTTCTTATATTAGCAACTGTGTGTAAAAAATTAATTTGTAGCAATAAGGCACTTTGATTATAAAAGTATTTCAAAATGCGTATAAGAGACACATTAATCTGAATGAGCACCAATGCCAATATTATCACTACACATATAAAATGTCCACTGTTTAACTATCACTTACCAGGTTAAATTATAAAATAAAAATATATGCGGTAACATAAAAAAAAGTTAACAATTAATGCATAAATTAGTATATTGAATATTACTTTGTCTCATCTCAAATAATTTACATAAGTAGTTTGACATTTCGTTTTTAAGCTGGTATTCTCTTAGGGTTTAAATCGTACATACGACGCATGCGCTTTTTCAATTCCTGTGGAAACTTATCGTAACATTTTTTACAAGCTGGTTTCAAGTCAAATTCAAAGAACTTAGTCTTCTGATTCATTTTTTGATCACAAAATGCACATGCGAAATGATGAACACACCACGCTTTGTTTAAAGCTGTAAAAACTGAAACATAAAATGTATATAATATAAAACTATTTCAGATTTAATATTAGATTTGTTTCCACATAGAAGTATTATTTCACTTCAATTTACTTATAAACATTTTATAATATAACAAATTTCTTCTGTATATTTAAACAATATACATACCATCGCCAGATATTACTTGATTGCATACAAAACACAGATTTCCAAAAAGTTGATGATAATGTGTCTCACAGTAAGCTAGACCTTTCTTCTCATAATGTCTGTGACCTAAAAATGGTTTTTCACATTTTGCACAGACAAAATGCTCAACGTGCCAGTGTTTACCTAAAGCAGTAACTACACGTTCCTCAATTGGACGTCTACATGCACCACAAATTGGAATTCCCATTTTATCGTGACATCTCAAACAATACAACTCATTCTAAACAAAACCAGTTCCCATTAGATATTCAAAAAGTTAATGTTTGAAAAAATAAAGCAATGTAACAAGTACATACCATTTCATTAGCTGCATAACCTGGTCTAGAATTCACTTCTCTAGCATCAGAATTAAGTTCTATTCCACAAGCTGTACAATTGAAATGATAGGGATGATATAATTCTCCACGAAAACGTAAAGGTTTGTCGTCAATTATACCACTAAAAATTCCATATTAAAATTTTGTTATATAAACAAAATAAACACTGCAATGCATTGAAAAAAATAAGATCACATACTGGCACTGATGACAAATATATTTTCCAAATGCTCCTGCTTTTACACGGGCATTACAAGTATGGCATAAAGCTCTACCCTGACATTTAATAAAACCTGCATCAGCTAATTCACCATTACATTCTTCACAGCGGAAACATCCTGGATGCCAATTAGCATTCATTGCTTTTATTACACGTCCGATAACAAATTCTCCTACAGATAAAAGAGTTTAAATTTTGTGTATTTAGTTTGTATGATACTAAATACAAAAGGTTATCAAACATACCACATTTTTCACAACAAGGTGCAAACAGAACATGAAAATCATGTTCACAATATTTATATCCCTCAAATTCATAAAATATTCCATCTGGAAATGGTCGAAAGCATTGTGCACATCTAAAGAAATAAAAGATTAAAATATGTGACTATTCTAATGACTACACTATGTATACATTAATATATTATATAGTGATTAAATATTCTTACACAAAACATTGCTGATGCCATAATTCTCCACGTGAATTAACAATTTTTTCATGTGCTACAAAGCCATCTTTACAGCGAGAACAAAACATGTGATCCAAAGACATATCTGTAACACTTTGATAAAGTGCATACTTCCAATATTAATTATTTTTTTAATATTTAACATGTAATGTATTAATTATACAATAAATGAATATTATATATTTCAACTGCATCTATTTATAAATTTAATATAATTTAATTTATTTCCATTCAAATTATTCAAATTAACAATTTTAATAATAACAATAATAAAATTAACAGAGATTTAAGACTGCAAGATGTAAACAAATTTTAGTACATATATATGAAAATTAGAATCTCATTTTTTATTAACAATATAACATTAGCAACAATAAAATTTATTATTATAAATGATTCTTAGTTCCTTTTATGTCATAGCCATAATCATTAATTTTAACACAAAACATTGCTGATGCCATAATTCTCCACGTGAATTAACAATTTTTTCATGTGCTACAAAGCCATCTTTACAGCGAGAACAAAACATGTGATCCAAAGACATATCTGTAACACTTTGATAAAGTGCATACTTCCAATATTAATTATTTTTTTAATATTTAACATGTAATGTATTAATTATACAATAAATGAATATTATATATTTCAACTGCATCTATTTATAAATTTAATATAATTTAATTTATTTCCATTCAAATTATTCAAATTAACAATTTTAATAATAACAATAATAAAATTAACAGAGATTTAAGACTGCAAGATGTAAACAAATTTTAGTACATATATATGAAAATTAGAATCTCATTTTTTATTAACAATATAACATTAGCAACAATAAAATTTATTATTATAAATGATTCTTAGTTCCTTTTATGTCATAGCCATAATCATTAATTTTAAGTAATAACTGTTTTTATTTTTTATGACAATGAAATGAACCGCTTCATCATATCACATTATCAATATATTCAAATTATGATTTTACATATTTGATAGTAACGGGTTTAAAATTAAATACCTGTAAATGAACTTTTGACGGTGGAAGAGATATCCTACAACAGTATATTTCACAAGAGAAATAATTGTGCTTACCCTGGCATTCTTTTAACGATACCGAAGAGATAATTAAATCTCACAACTTTTATTAGTATTTGTTACTTTATTCTTTCAAACACTTAAACGATTTTCAACCTTATGCATTGGAGAGTAATTTAAAAAACATTTAATCTTTTAAGTAATTAAAAGATACGGGTTTGTATTTTTAACACTAGTTCCAATTTATTTTGTGTATCAAGTATTTATATAAACAAAAATACTCGCATTTTCACGAATGTGATATTATGTTAAAATTTATCTAATGTATATTTAGAATAAAAATTACGTCAGCGTATAGTGCACCGCCTCTCTTAGATTGACCATTACGTTTAATTGTAACGACCAATCAGATGATAGAAGTACAGGATTTCCTTTTGTGAAAGAAACCTTTAAGCACGAAACTCGATTTAGAGTGGAAACTACTTATAGCGAATTCGGTAACCTGCACTAGTGCATCATAGCATGTAAGGATGTTCCAAAATAGCTTTGACTGCTGCACCGTAGGAGAATCCCTCACCAACAGCCCACTGATCTATATATATGTATATATATATATATTATGCATAGCATATGTAGACGGAGCATGAACTGAGCGGGGGAGTAAGATTCGCGGTAAGGGGGTGGTTAGTTATAAATTGGGTAACTTCGTTCCTTTTCGGTGCTATTCGGGTATACAATCACGTTATATACATGTATGCTATGAGAGATGAAAAGAATATACTTATTATACGTTAAAAATTCCGTATGTCATGTAGTTTCTATAGATTTATGTATTTAACAAAATTAATAAATAGTATAAAGCGTTAAATAATAGTACGGCACACAGCCCATCAGCCATTAATAACGAGCCGAATCGAGCCGAATGCATCCGAAGCTAACCGACGTATATCTAACTACCGCTGTCTTTTCCCCTCCAATCCTACGGAACCCTCGCCAAAAGTGGTAGCTTATGCTCCGTCTATATATGCTATGTTCCGCATACACACGGTGTATACGACTGTGTATACGACCGTGCGCGCATCAGCATGCGTTTTTGTACGGACGCATCGATTGCAACGCTGTGTGGCTAGTGGAAGATTCATGAAACTTTTGGTCTCCATTAAGGGATCACCTCCATCACGGGAGTTTTCGGACCTGTGTATACGACCGTGCCAATAACTCTAAATAGATAGTTGGAGTAGAGTGGACAATTATGCTAGTAGTCACAGTTGCAATATCAATGGCGATTTGTCACGTGATAAACTTTTTATTGTTACCACGATTTATTTAAGTCACCGTGCTTTTAAATAGTTGAACATTTTACTAAATTACTTCCACTTTCTAAACACAATAAAATTAGAGTATCGATTTATTCAATCAGAAAATCAGTGGTATATTCCCTATATATTATATAATTTTAATTTTTTTTTCTTTCTTATTTATATAATTCAGTGATGTAAATTTATGTTTTTATTTTAATTTCAGAATAACTTAACATTTGGTAATATAAATCTATGACGTTCCTATAAACGTTTAACGTCATGGTTCGGTTTTGACGGTATCTATATTTTAATATATATGAACTATTTTTACTATTAAATTGAGATTGTAAAATTACAAAGTTGTTATTATAAAATGTATAAATACATAAAACATGTGTGTATGTTTTTTTGCGTTATATTAATAAGTGCTCAATATCTTACGATAGGTTTTATACTATTGTAGCAAAGGTAAATTTTATTTTATTCTTTTGTGCGTTTACTTACATTACTTTTTGTAATTTGAGTTTGTGCATATCCATTTGTTTACATAATGGTACATATATAATTTTACCGAAAATTGGAGCAATCATTTATGCTTTGTATTAAACTTTTTATATTTCCCGCGACTACGGAATAAAACGATTTCTTGGGTATGCCATCTGAAGAGTAACAAAAATTTCATGACCTATAAGAATTATCCGCAGGACAGTTAGGCAGGCAGCAAAGCAGTGCGGTCTGTCGCCATTTTGTTTATTTTCGCGTAAGAGATTTGAGGGACGATTGAGTAAGTAGATCGTCCTGACGTCGTTCGTGAAAACGTCAGCTGTGTGCATTGGTGATCACGTTAGAAACCTGGAAGCACCGGCGAGAAAATTCGTTTGCACGGGGCTCGATTGGCAGAGGCTGGAACAAATATTAAGATTAAGACGTAAACGAGCCGAGGTTCGGAAGAAGTACGTAGGTCTCCCGATTAGTAGCGCGCCGGTCCCGCGGTGCGAAAACCGTTTCTCGGATCGGGCGAGAAAGAGCGAACTAGCATAAACTAGAAGTGGAAGGAAGACAGGTGCCACAGGAGTAAAAAAAGATAGAACTGTGGCGACAAGGAACGGAGCAACGTAAGAATTACGAAAATATCGTGCAAGGGTAGAATATATGTTGTGGGCGTCCCCCGAAAAAGCGGGGGCAATTAATAGTTCAGAAATTGGGCGCACTTTAAGCAAATATCAATCGTCATCGGGTAGTAAACCAACGTCGTTGTCGTCGAGTCGTGGTGGTAGTGACGCGAACCTGGTTGCGATTGGAATCGAACAGTCGCAGCCGCAGCAAAATTCGCTTTAGCAAAAGTCTTCCGTTCCTGACGAAAATAGTCAGTATATTGAACGACAACAATCGGTCTGTGCTCGAGATTCATTTGTGGTTACACTAGTTAAACTACCATCTGAAGTAACCTCGACGGCGGCAGCCGCCTCCGAGGTTCCCGGCGCAATCAAGACGACCATCAATATCGGCATTGCGATGAACCACGTTAACGATCAGGAAAACCTTAAACAACTCAACCTGGCACCAGTTCAGGTCAATGAAGTCGAGGAAATGGACACACAGGAAGGTATGCTTCATTTTCCATTATTTGATTTCATTTAGAGTTTTTCTATTTTTATCTTAACTTCTTGTTTTTATTTCTGTTTTTGAAGGTTATAAAAAATATTCGCGACTTTATAACACTGTAAATATGTTACTGTCTATTTTCATTTCCAGAACATTATATTAGAACAATTACAATTAAAATCGCTCTAGTACACACACACACACACACACGCACACTCACGCGCGCGCGCACACACACCCGTGAAGTTTTTATATATACATATATATACATATATATGATTTAAATGTTTCATATTAGTAGATATCCCATATTTCTAATCATTTATACCAAATTGTTCCATCTTTATTTTGGCTGTTAAACATTATGTAGGAGAGTTTACAAAAAATATTTAGAAAAGAAATACTTTTTACAATGATGTCCATTGTAACTTTATTGAAAGAAATAGGTATATATTTAAATACAGTGACAAAGATGTATTCCTCTAATATTTGGTATGACTTTAAATAATTAATTTTTAGATTATTCTTTCATTTGTACCATGTGTGTTTCCTTTTATGTAAGAATAATAATAAATGTTTAGGAAATTAATAAAATTTGTATGAATTTGCAATGATGTCTGAGGTTAGATGTTTTTATATTTTAGTTAAATCAAACACATATGACTGACAGTAGTTATTCATTTGATTAGAGTATTCATTTGTTTTTTTAATCGTGTTATAATGATTATAATTTGACAATATAGCATTTTTTGTCAAATATTTGTATAAATTATTACTTGGACACTTTTATAAATTTTTCATTGATTTGGATTTTATATTAAATTCCTAGATTAAACATAATTATTAGTGCAAAGGTACATGATTCTTTTGTTAATATATAACAAAAAATATTACAAAGTACACTTGTGTTGCTATTTATATATAATATGTTCACTATAAGATGATATGTATTGTATATAATTTTTCCTATTCAACATATTCATGAAGTTTAATTAATAAGTAATTTCTAAGAGACATACATTAATTTTAACTTTTTAGAAACACCAAATGATGGTGGAGGAGATGGTAATGATACTAGTCCTATGAATGGAGAATCAGAATTAGCTTGTATAGTTCAAGATCAAGAAATGGAAGAAGGTAATATATGAATAATAACCTACAGTTTGTTAAAACCATAGTTTTATAAGTTTTAATTGATAAGTACAATTACTTTTTATATTTCAAATTAATCCAAAAAAATTTAAATACTCCTTAATAATTGATATCTGTTTTTTATTTTGTTAACTAATAATTTTTGAAGTGTCCATTATATTCTTAAATACAAGTAACATAAACTTGTATTAATACTAATAGTTAGGCAATCAATAGATTTAACTTGATCAAATTCTGTCCAATATACACTGCGTGACAGAAGTTTGTAAACACTTTTTGGTTTCAGTATGTACCAGAAACTTTTTGCACAATCTAGTAATACCATGTTATTCAACGTCCCAAAAAACCCCTTTGTGTATGGTTTCCTGTTAAAATTCGGACATTACGCGTTTTTATTAATGAAAATCAGTCTTTCAGCCATGACAAAAGTTTGTGAACACTTCCATAAAAACAAATTTATTGAAAAACTAACAACATGTAGCAATAATTACCAATATTAACACTAATTTAATAGTTGAACAGTCTTCCTCTCTTCATGATAATGTCAAAACTATGAGTTCTCATGGAATCAGTCAAAGCAGATTCAGCTCAAGGTTCTGCTAAGCTGCTAAAATTGGAGTTTTGAACTGTTCCAAAGACTCAGATTCTTTATTATTTGCGTATACACGACGACCCAAACGTTTTCCATGGGATTACAATCCAACGATCTGGCAGGCCACCCCAATAACTCGATGCGCCGCTAACTGGACCATGCTTTGGTTGGGTTACTTCTGTGTGCGATGGCGTTATCTTGTTGATAGACAAGAGCAATCCGACCTAAACTGTGAAAATATGGTACGAGAGGGTTCTCCAATATTCCGATGTATTCAGTATTGCCCATTTGCGCATATGTAAAGGCTAACTCTATGGTCGCAATGCAGAGAAGACACCCCATACCTTACAGGTACGACCGCCAAAGTTCAGCTTTGAATAGAAGCGCGATTCCTTCCTCAAATTTCTTCAGTAACAATTGTTTAACATTTTACTGGAGAGATTTGAGGAAGGGACGGTATTTCTTTTCAAAGCCGAACTTTGGCGGTCGTACCTATACGGTATGGGGTGTCTTCTTTGCATTGCGATCGTAGAGCTGGCTTTACATGTGCGCAAATTGACAATACTGAATACATCGGGATATTGTAGAATCGTCTCGTACCGTATTTGCAACGTTTTCATCGGATTCCTCTTGTCTATCAAAAAGATAACACCGTCATACACAGAAGTAACGCAACCAAAATATGGCAATGGAAGTACATTAATAAGTAAAATTTAAATCTTTGAGTATCATGTATTACAATTATTATATGCATTACAATCATAAGACACTTAATAAGACATAAGACAAAATGAAAAGTTCTTTGCATTTTGTATCCAGAAGTTTCTAAAAACTAGAATACTGCAGGTGCACGTTCATAATATAGTAATACTGACAGAATGTGGTATAACATTTTCATGAACTTCAGTGTATTTTTATATCAATTTTAATCATCCTTTGTAAACTGTAATCACATGTCTCTTGTACTTTTATAATTATCAATCCGTTTTTTTTTCAATCATAAAAGAAAAAGTTATCAATTATAGAACAAAAAACTTACATGATAGCAAAACTTATTTCACTAACATGACACCAATATTTGTTTCAACTTTGATGAAACATTAACAAGTGGTATGAAAAAGTATTTAAAATATTTCTTCTAATTTTTCCCCTAAAAAAATATTGATTACTTCATATTACATTCATTTTGGAGGGATATTAGTGTTTGCATGAAATTTCAGAACATTTAAGGAACATAGAATAGGAGAATGTTGGTTCCTACAAGATTTTAGTAACCTGTTATTCTGCATTACTCATGTTGTTTGAATTTGAAAAGACTTAGAAATTTAGCTTAGTGTGTTGTGTTATAGTAAACATTATTTTAGTAGTGGAATTATGAATGTTGTTACAAAATGTTTTCTACAACTTGTCAATGTTTTATCAAGGCTGAAATAGGCACCCCAGTGTTTGTTAAATTTTATTAAAAAATTTCTAAAATTTGTATAAAAGACAGGGAACTCTATAAAAATTTATTTGATATACCATCATCAGTAGACTGTGGAAGTTTATCCAAATTTGGAATTTCCAATACCAATGTATAAAAACTCAAATGGAGCAGAATTTTGAATTCTCTACTAGAATCATTACTACGTTAATACTAACATATAAATAGTATTAAAATTTATTAAAACCCTTATCTTATTACATTTTCCAATTTAAGAGTTATTATAAATACATAAACATCTGCAGTCTAATCAGCAGTGTTACAATATTTTTGAACATGTATTAAAATTGAGGATTGCCTCTAGACAATAAAAACTAAGAAAAATAATAGGATAAATCAATCAAGAATTTTTTTTAATTGAGAGCAATTTCTTAGAAAAATAGTAGTAATACTTTTACTTAGAATTAAAATTAAATGAAAATATTTAAAAAGGCATATCTCTGGGACCATGTTAGATCAAAATAAATCATGTAAAAGGAGAATTTTATTTTTTTTAGACTGTTAAATCAAAATCATGTAAAAGACATCCATTTAAAGACAAAATTAAGTGGACCCAAATAACTAGTGCCTGAATGGCTTACACGGGTGTATCCAATTGTATCTTTTCCAGCTTCAAAACGTTATTTTTGCCTTCTGAAACTATGTTATAAGCTTCAGTTGGTAATTTAAAGATTTCTATTATAGATTTCATAAGTTTCACAAGGAATATAAAATTAACATATCAATTACTTTTTAAATTAGACATTTTTTATTGTATAAGAAGAATAGGATAAATCATATCTATTTCTTTGTTGAGTTCTGAATTATGGAATTAGTTTTATTGCTTTTGTAACGAATGTTGTATAAAACTTGAAGTATAATTTTTTTGGCAAAATTTTGAATACCTTATAATATCATATTAGTTGAGAATTATTGGAGCGAGATGTTTATGTTAGGAAAATATTTTCCATGAGCAGATTTATTTCTGCTAATATGGTATATTTTAAATTATAAAATAGTAAAAACAGTGAAAATGGCAAATGAAACTTGCAATATTGTGACTCCTTACGGATTCTATTTCTTGAGCAGATGGCACATCTTCAAAGTGGATTTGCTTTTGATGGTGTAGCTGGTATAAAGTTGGGGAAATGTTTTCCGATGAGACGTGTAGGTTTTGCAGCTGTAGTTGGTCGACCAATTTTCGAAATTTGTGTTTGCTGCATTGCATATTCCTCAACTACTTTTTTTATATAATCTGTATGAGTTCAAACACATTACGTCTATGAGGGGGAGAAATATTTTCATTTAATACTTCTTCATCCTTTTCCTCGCAAGTGTATATGATGCAATTATTCCGTCATTTCTGTCCACACCGCCCAAATTAGGTGGGTATGGTTTATTACGGTTGAATTTAATTTTTTATAATAATGAGCCCCCCTCCACGTTGGCGATACGTGGAACGCCGTCATAAAATACATAGCAGTTGTGTTGGTAATAGAAAGGAAACATACCGCTAAATAATATTCTTATTACATTTTATTGAAATTTCGAGTTTTTATAGTCAATGGTAATTTTTTATTTTACACGACGAGTATACACATCAACCGCACCGCAATAGTGACGACATAACAGTATTCGCCGCAGGCGGAAACATTTAAATGCTACAACAACTGCTCCAAAAAACCCTTAACAAGCTACAGTTATTCGTAGAAAAAACTGGTTTTAAAATCTCTCAAAACAAAACCACTGTAACACTGTTCTCCAAATCAAATAGAAAAAACGAACAACCACAACTATACATAGGATCACAAAAGTTACCAGTTATGAACCAAAAAAAATTGTAGGATTAACATTCGACCAGAAACTCACTTGGATTCCCCATATCAAAGAATTAAAAAACGAATCCAACAAAAGACTAAACATCCTAAAAAGCTTGGCTAGTAAAAATTGGGGAGCCGAATACCAAATACTAACCAACACATACAAAGCAATTATCCGCTCCAAGATAGACTACAGATCCATAGTGTACAGCTCTGTTAAACCCAACATCATTAAAATGATCGAAGTAATCCAAAATTCAGGAGTTCGAATGAGCATCGGAGCTTTCAAAACTAGCCCAATAGTCGCAACATTGAGAGAAGCCAATATACTACCACTATCCTTCAACAGAAAATAACTCAGCCTAAACTACAGTTCCTCATTAGCAGCAACACTAAACAATCCAGCATGCCAATTTTTAGCTGTCAACAGAGAATCAGAACATACAAATGAAAGATGCAATCTGCTACAGCCTTTCAGCATAAGAATACAGGAGTACTCGAAAAAAATCGAACTGACAACACCTGATATAAGCATCAGGCAACAACTCAAGATTCCTCCTTGGAAGATCCAACCACCTAAAACGGCACAAATTAAAAGCCCTCAAGAAATAAACAAACAAACTCAATGCAAGTCTAACTAAAGTCCATACACTTGAAGAAACATCTAAACACCTCAAAACACACCATATACACTTAAACACAGACAGATCACCCGAAGCTGCAAACGAAACAAGATGCACCATCGTGACACCCGATTCGAAGATGTCACATACACTGCCTAATTACTTCTGAACCAGCTCTTATGAACTATACGCCATCCTTATGGCCCTCAAACACATTAAAATAAGCAAAGATAAATTCATTTTATAGCACAGGTAAGACTAGCATGGAAGATGGGATGGACAACGACAATAGGAAATGGACTGAATTACAAAATAGATAAAAACCTGCCATGTAGTATGTGCATTAGGGGAAAATTACAAACTAAGAAACATATACTCAGCAACTGCCTCATAATTACAGAACTTAGACCAAATTTGCTGAAAAGCAGAGAGTTGACAGAGATGCTAGCGGCAAATATGGAGCAAAAATATAGGCATTGACGAACTTTATAAAGGGATGCATGAAGCTGAGGGCGTTTTGCTTGCAGAAATCAAAATATGGATTAAACCAAAGATATACAAAAAAAACACATGCACCGATACATAAGATACGTAAATCTAAACTTAAATACAGACATTAGGATACTGTATAACGTTGAAAATCACATGGAATTATATTATGTCACACCATACAGTTATTGGGATAACACGTAGTCTAGTAGAATATAACTATATGTAATAAGCCAATATATAAATATATGTATTAAGCGTGCGCAATCACAAACAAGAATTGTACTAGGCATTAAGTTTTACTATAATAAACAAACAGTTAAAAAAATAATATATCAATTCATAATAATGTGTTATATAAAATGTAAACTAATTATGGGTAAAGTTTGAGTTGAACAAGTGATTCTAACATTGCTCTAGTTAAACCCTTACTATACACTAATACTGTTTTTTTTATCTGTTACTAGACGAAGCAAGATCAGAGGCGACATTTCGCTTCACAGTAGAAAATGTCTCTACAATGAAAGATACTCAGTTGTCACCACCATGTTACGTTCGTAATTTGCCATGGAAAATAATGGTAATGCCAAGGTCAAGCCAGACACAAGAGAGACCACCTCAGAGATCACTTGGTTTTTTTCTTCAATGTAACGGAGAAAGTGACTCTGCATCATGGAGTTGTTTTGCAAACGCAGATCTGCGGTTACTCTCTTGCAAAGAAGGACAAATTCCATTTAGCAGAAGTTAGTATACCATAATATACCAGTATTCTAGTTCTACCAAATATTTTCTTCTCCTTCATTCAGATTTCTCACTTACTGTGTTACATTTTACATGTAATCAGTTCTCTCCATTAAATTTTACTCGCGTATATTTTTATGTGCATTTAATCATATACATGTACATATGTATATATATATATATATATTTTTTTTTCTTAGAGATTCAACATCTATTTTATAGTAAAGAAAATGATTGGGGATTTAGTCATTTTATGACATGGCAGGATGTTCTGGATCCTGATAAAGGTTACATTAAAGATGATTCTATTACACTTGAGGTTAGTGGTATTTAATGTTATGAAATAAAAAATTAAAGAATGTGGATTTTTAAAATTCCATTTAATGATTTCAATGTTATATATTTATTACACTTTGAAAATTTATATTTACTATGCTTTGAATATAATTTACTGAAATTACTTAATTTTCAATTGATTTATTAGTTCCTTTATAACTGAATTTTTTTACGTTAGTTTTGTTGGACATAAACACTTAAATTTTTAATATTTGATTCATTAAAATAGGTTCATGTCATGGCTGATGCACCACATGGTGTCAGTTGGGATAGTAAAAAGCATACAGGATTTGTAGGTTTAAAAAATCAAGGTGCTACGTGTTATATGAATTCTTTACTTCAAACTTTATATTTCACCAATCAGGTAAGTTGAATGTTTCAAATAACAGTAAATGAAATGTACCATTCAATATTTAAAGATTTTACGTTTATAAGGTGACAAACAACAAATTTATTATAAGTATGCAATGAATCAATTTGAACTGGGTATTTATACTTCTGTTTCCAGTTACGAAAAGCTGTCTATAAAATGCCAACAGAAAGTGATGACTCTAGTAAGAGCGTAGCTTTGGCTTTACAAAGGGTTTTTCATGAATTACAATTTTCTGATAAGCCAGTAGGTACAAAAAAACTAACCAAAAGCTTTGGCTGGGAAACATTGGATTCTTTCATGCAACATGATGTACAAGAATTTTTACGAGTGGTAAGGGAGTAACTTAGTTTTTAAATAATATGTTAAGCTAATTGATTAATTAAATTTGTTTTATATTTATATACTTCACTAATACCCGCTTTAGCTTTTAGATAAGTTGGAAAGTAAAATGAAAGGAACATGTGTGGAGGGTACAGTACCAAAATTATTCGAAGGGAAAATGGTGTCATTTATTAAATGTAAAAATATTGATTATAAATCAACTAGAACCGAAACTTTCTATGATATACAGTTAAATATAAAGGGCAAGAAGAATAGTAAGTTTGTTATTGCGTTAAATAAGTATTCTTTTTTAGAATTAAAGATTTATTAAACAAATATTATTATTTTAGTTTATGAATCCTTTAATGACTATGTAAGCACTGAAAGTCTAGATGGTGATAATAAGTATGATGCGGGAGATCATGGATTACAGGAAGCAGAGAAAGGAGTGATCTTTTCATCATTTCCACCAGTTTTACATTTGCATTTAATGCGATTTCAGTATGACCCCGTTACAGATTGTTCAGTCAAATTTAACGACAGGTAAGCAGTATATCGAACGTCATGGTAAGCTGTTGTAATCATTCTGATATATTTTTAATAACATACGTTTTATGTTTCACAAAGGTTTGAATTCTATGACAAAATAAGTCTTGGCAAATATTTGCAAAATAAAGAAGCAACAAGTGCAGATTATACACTGCATGCAGTCTTAGTTCACAGTGGAGATAATCATGGTGGTCATTATGTTGTATTTATCAATCCAGCCGGTGATGGAAAAGTATGTGTAGTTTTTATATTAGTATATTGTATGTAAACTGGTGTTTTTATATAAAGTGGTCCGTGCACGGTGGGCCATCGGTCACCCACAATATACCTGCCGTTCTAACCATTGACGATTTTCACTATCACCACAGTACGTTATAATATTGATGATTTCTGCTTATCGCATAAAATTGCTCGTCTTGTTACATGGTACATGTTGTATGTTGTATATTTTCGTTCATAAAATTGATGTTTTCATTCTTACAAACGTCCTATGGTGTACAATACAAAAGTTTATAGTATGTTCTGCTACGGGCCATCGATGACCCACATGGTGTGAACGAAAAGATCTGAGAACGGAACGTGTTAAAACATTAATAAATTTTACATTAATAATATTTTCCGTGTATGTAATATTATTTATATATTGCAACCTTGAAAACGAATATATTCTGACAGATTTTTTAAAATTGTTAATCACACCGTTCATTCTCAAACAGTGGTGCAAATTCGACGATGATGTCGTCTCAAGGTGTACAAAGCAGGAAGCTATTGAACATAATTTTGGTGGTCAAGATGAGGACATATCTATGGCTGTGAAACACTGTACGAACGCCTATATGCTGGTGTACATAAGGAATTCTGAATTGGAAAACGTTTTACAAGAAGTTAAGGAAGAGGATATACCTCAAGAGGTCAGAAACGTCCTTCAAAGAGAACTTTCCCAGGAGTTGAGCGACCTTGAACGTGACAAAGACACGACTGACTCAATTAAAGACTCACACACAGAGACTACGACTCTTCGTCCGTGCACTCAAACTTCTCGAAATCCAAATCTCTATATTCATGATTTTTAAGGAACGAACCAAGAGAAACCAATAGGAAGAGCTGGAAAGAGTTGTAAATTGTTTATATTATTTTTTGATGAAACTCTTCCCACTTCTTAAATATGTTTTAAGCTAATTAGCTCATAAAATATGAGATAAATTTATAACGCATTGTATCAAGTTAATGGAAAGAGAAAATGAGTTTATCAAAATAGAAAACCTATCCAAATAGATTCAATATTTTGGATATGTGAATTAATCAGAAAATAAGATTTACAAATTAAATTTAACAAATTAATATTTTTTTTAATGTCTCTATATACATACACAGATATTTCCAAATATTTGTTATAAGATTTGTCTTAATATTTTTTATGAACAGAAATTTATAGTGTTATCAGCTATAGGCTGTTGTAATCATCAAATGTTAATATTAAATACATGATGTCCAATTTCAGGGGTCACATGTGTACACGTGATACGTCACACGTCGTCATTTTTACAGTGTATGTACGCATTATTTTCCTGAATGTTACTATATTCGGACGAAAAAAGTCATCGTGTTCTTTTGAATCAAGTAATTAATAATTTGCGTAAACGTGTTTTGCTAAAATATTCTCAATATCGCATGTAAGATTTTCCATTATCATTATCTAAAGTGTATATTATCAGTAGAATTTTATTAATTCGTGTTATATAGAGATTTGTTCTTTTTCACAAAAAATATTTTAACTGTTTGACAGAGATTTTTTGGGTATGGACGATAGAGTAAAAAAAATGAAATTTTTGCTTATTTTTAATTTATTTTTTGTTATTTAAAAATTTTATACTTATATGTATGTATATATAAATATAT